CGGCGCCTGCTGCCTCAGCGCCCCCTTTCCAGAGCCTTCTGCCGTTGCCCGCTGGGCCGTGCGGAGCGGGCGGTGAGACGCAGCGAGGGCGGCCGCGAAGCGGTGAGCGTGGTGGAAAGACAACCCGCTCTGAAGGCCGTGGTGATACCCTCCGGGCAAGCAAAGTGACAAAAACGGGTGGACGCTCTTAAGGAGGGGATGTAGAGGGTAAAATGGAAATATCTCCGTGGCACTGTGTAAAGCCACAGTATGTCAACGCCTTGTGTACAGGGTGCTCTCTTGGCAGTGCAGCTAAGAGAATGACGAGGCTTTACCAGGTGTAAAACTTGATGTATGTTACGGCTTGAAAAAGAAATCCTGCTTTCCATGTGCTACTTTGATCTTTTAACTTTGGTTTTTTTAACTTTGGTTTAGGTCTCTGATAACCTTCCCAGATACCGTTTGCCTTTGACTACCCCCCCTCCCCCGCCTTAAATCAAATCATTAAAATTTATTGCAGGGAGAGTGTTTGCAGCTTCCTGTAAAAGGTTTTTTGCGGCCTGACGCTCAGGAAATGTGATATGGAGTAGAAGTAAAACGTGTGTTTGAAGCATAGTTGGGGCTGTGATCTCCGTTACCATCGTGTCGCTGTGTGGACAGAGAGCCCCAGACTTGCCTGTTTTGAGAGACTTATTACAGAAATGCATTGTGGAACTGAGAAACAACGTTTACCACCATATAAATGCTGCACGGTCTTTCCGAGTACCTCTAAACAAGTCATCTAACATTGACAGTAGAACTTCTCGCTCAAGCTAGATTTAGAGTTGGAAAGGTGACATGTTGCTGAACTGTCTTGCTTATTTGTAATTGACATAAACAACCTCATGAGTAGTATGTTATAAATGATGAATCGTATTGTCCTCTCCAGTGTGGGTGCTCTGCAATATATTTTTACCACTGTCTCTGGGCACCAGTAATGTATTGACAAGAGATGAGCCTCAGGGTGAAAGGAATTCAATGATCAAGTGGGACAAGGTCATTTAGACGCTCCTTTGAGCTACTCTTGAAGTTAAAGCTATCTCATAACTTTGAACAATCACTAACTCAGTTTTTTTTTCTGATTGCTTATTTTACATAAGATGATTAAATAGTTGGAAGCTTTGAGCAGCTCTTTGTCATTGGAAGAAATTTGAACCGTTTAAAACCAAACGGAATTAATTTTTTCTGCTCCTCATTTCCCTTATGCCTCTTACTAATACAATTAACAGTGGCTGACGTAGTAATCAATATTATGGAATATGTGCCAGACTCTCTACTCTTATTAATTGAAAAACAAAGCTACCAGACCCTTACTAATTGCCATCCATTATGTAAAAGTTATGAATGGAAATAGACATGTTTCATGGGTGTTGCATCTCCAGTGAAGTTTGCTTTTTTGTTTCTTTAATAATAGAAAAAGTCACTTCAATAATTCTACTTCAGTATATCTGACCTGCTCATGTATTTATTTATTTCTACCGCAAACAGCGGTCCTAGAAAGGCAAGGTATTCCTGTTATGCAGGTGAAATACTGAAACTAATTGTGAGTGAAATGTTACAAATTTTGAATCCTAACTCTTTCTCCTTATTACTCCTACTACAGTGATGTGTTATGGGACTGCATTCTGTTCTGTGATAACACCATAGCCTGAACTGGGAAATTACAGTTTTTTCCCCCACAAAGATTATGTTTCGTACGTTCACAGTGCATCAAAAATAGCATTGTACAACTTATATGAATTGTCTTATTTGCCTACACAAAGCAGTTCATATCATCTTTTAAGAGTCTGTGTCTGACAGCCTTCCGGTGTCTCCCAGTCTCAAAGCCTTGCCGTTGTGGGCTCTGGGCATGGTTGTGTGGTGGGGCCTGGAGTCCCGAGAAGATCCTTATACAAAGATATGAGCTACTAACCTGCTTTCTCTACTTCTACCGTCTGAACACAAAGGTGCAATGGCTTGAAGCATAGCCTGAGCGTGGACTTGCTGGGGGTGATGGGGAAGGGTTAAAAGGGCTGTAGTTCACTTTCACCTCCAACTCTGCCATTGTTCATACTCGTGTTTGGGTGCATGTGTGTGCACTCATGCACACACTGCACGCACGGTCTCATATTTAGTACTGAACGGTGCCGGGTGGAACTTGAGAAGCTATGCAACTGTTTCCTCTTCCTTCACCCACCTCCATCCTCCTAGTAGCTTTATGTTGAAAACTTTGTCATGTTTCAAAAAGTAAAAGGATACAACTTGTCTTACACCTATCTTTTGACTTCCGTGCTTTTTGTTTTGGGAGGGCTTTTTTTTCTTTTTAACCTTATCCCTAAGGCCTTATGGTTTTGGAATATTGAGACCTACTCTGTGGTTTCCTGCTCATGAAACTGAAATAAAATTGCACGCATTGATACCACAGGTGCAGTCTGCATACTGTAAAATTAAAAACTGTGATAAGAAGTCACTCCCTGTTCTCTGAAGGCTGTTTAACAAAAAGAGACTCGAAAGCCCTGAAAGACAATCCTCTTTGCAGACATACTGACAGGCGAAGTTCTGAAGCATAAGCTTGAATCTAGCAACCCTTTAAATCTGGGATGCTTCAAAAAATTCAAATGGGATTAACACCAGCAGTTTATCGCTGAAATGAATAAAACAGCTGCAGGGCTGCTCAGTGTTGGCATCTTTCTGAATTGAGTTAAATCTCTCTTACTGTGTTCTTTTCCACGTGGGATAAGAACTAGGTATGATAGTAACTGAATTCCAAGGAAATTGATCTTAAATCTGAATCTGGCTGAGGACACACTAGCATAGTACAGCAGGTTGAGGGATCTGTTCCTTGTGTGTGGAGTGTTTGGTGGCAGAATATAAATATTGAACCCTTATGGACTCACTGGAAGTAACCTACGTCTTAAAAAGGCATGTGTCTGATCTTGGGATTCCAGTATATGCAGTCTAGGCTGCATATTGAAATGTTAAGTAGTTCCAGTTCCATGCACTTTCTAAAAAATTTCCATCAGAAAGCCTGTTTGGAAAGGAAAACACTTTCAGTCCATATACTGCAGCTTCTATAACTATTACAAGTACTCCACATATAATTTCAAATCACAATGTAGCTTAGTCTTTTATACAGGCAGAAATGGTCCATTTTTTTCTGCCATTCCCTGAGATTTTTAGAACAAAATAAATCTGACTCCAGAAACAGAATCCTGACACAGCAAAGAGGATCAGAGGCCCTGCTTTTTTCTTCCCAGCATGTAACTGATTAAAACCATATGTGTATACCATTGCTATGCCTTTGAATTCAGTTGCTGACACAGATCAAGCTTGATTCACTTAAACCGTAAAGCTATTATAGTGGCCAGGGGTCATCAGACAGAAGAGCCAACTTCAGGATTAAGGTTATTGTGATACCCTTCTGTATATATCTTTGGGAGAATCTTACTATGAACAATTATGGATATAACAAAAATAATGACGCAGAGGCAATAAATAAGCAGTAATAATACAATTCTATAGCTGAGAAACAAAGAAAAAGCTTCAAAACTGAGGAGGTGAATGTAACATTTATGTTGCAGGTTTTCACAGTAAGGTATGCAAGGATTTTCATTTACATGGCTTCTTTATCACACCAAGTTAAAAGAGAAAAACGAATGAGGTCTTTAGAATAATGAGCCCTTTATTCTTAATTTTAACATGTTAAATCTTTTTATATAGCCTATGATTTCAGATTTTGAATTTTCATTACATTAGAACATCAGGAAGGCGTTGAAAAATTTCAGACCTTGATCAAATCTGTGAACTATGCTAGAAATATTCCTGCATACCCTGGATATTGTCTTGCACTGCAAGAATATTGCATAGTAGGTAGTGGGGTTTTAATTGTTATACACAGGCAGGAGCGGGTTGTTTCAGGCTTTGTGATGTGTGGCTGTGTTTCCCCACCTGCGTTACACGTGCAGCATGGGATGCCCAGAATTCATATTCGTAGTGTGTTTGCACAGTCAGTTAGTACATGTAAACATACCTAAACAAACGCACCCTCTCATTTAGAAACAGGATTCTGCAGTGGAACTGAGCTTCCTGCCCAGGCGTGCGTTTCCGATCTTTGAAAGCTATCCTTGCTAGAGTTTGACAGTAGCTTCTCAGCAGGCGTTGCGGTTCACCCACAGTGCAGACATTAATGTTCCTGTGCTACAAAGTGGTGAGGCTCCAAGTAGCTTAATGGTATTGAGGTTTTAGTCTGAGCAGTGAGGTAGGCATGCTCAACGTTTAAGAGCAAGTTGAGAAGAAAGTTTAAGTAAAACTTCTCAGACTTATCCTTAGGAAGTAGGCTGACGGAAAGGACTAGGGATTGTACTCCTGTAACTTGCTGAGGGAAGGTCCTGAACACAGCGCTTGTTTGTTGATAACTGATAGCAGCAGAGTTAGGAGTGATTTGTGCATACGACTGTTTATGCAACAGCTGCTCAAGCTTTAGTTTTGGTGCAGTAATGTAGTTTATCTATTTCGTACCGCGATTTTTGTTTCTCTGTTAAAATCCTTCCATTTTTGTGTCTATTCTCTAGCTTTGGGAGCCCTGGTTTTAACTAGTATTTGACTTGCCCCTTTGCAGACTGTCGGAAGGTTACGTATTACCAAACCTGCTGTTTTTATTGTATCAGAAATGAGGAGGCACTTGCTTTGGGTTGGCTGAGCTTTTAACTCTGTAAACAAATTCTGTACATGTGGAATAGGCCAGCTGCTTTGTAAAAGAGAACACTAGCAACATGGCTAGGGGTATGTCTGGAAGGAGAAGAGGATCTGTTTAGAAATTCAGTGTATAAGGAGAATTGGAAGGTAGGATGGATAGCAACCCTGCCTTTTTATCTCTGATGACACTGTCTAGTAGCCAGCACACTACTCCTTAGGGGGCTGCTGGTCTGATTATCCACACACATTTATTCATGCTCTTGTCCAGATTTACTGAAGGTGCGCACGTTACTGAGTTTTTACTGGGTTTGAGATGCAGCCTCGTTAACATTGCATCCAGCAACAGCAAGGCAGAGCCAATGACTTGGGGGCTCTTCCAGTCATAGCTTCCTAGAAGGAGATATATGTGTGTGTATATATGTACATATATTTATATAATAATTTTTATGTATATAATATAATTATTTATATATGTGTGTGTATATATATACATATATTGTATACATATATATACATATATTTATATATATATAAACACTGTATATATTTATATATATATATAAACACACAAGATGCAGAGCTTATTTTTTTCCAAAATACAAGTGAGGATATGTTTCCAAAATACATATCGTGAGGGAAGTTCAATGCTGATTGTATTCACGGTGCCCTTACAAAAAAGTGTTTAAGGACCTCTTAGGATTTGCAACTGTAAATTTTGAGTCTCTCTTTTTGTTGGCAGTCACTAGGCCTTGCAGGTAATTTCATTTTGGTTATGTAAGTGCATTCTTGTTTCTGTTACTGGAGTGTGCTGTACCAGACATATGTCTTGTTTGTCTGTTTTGTTGCTTTGCCTGCTTTATGAAATACTAACCAGAGAATGGGAGATTTTGGAGTAAATTTACTTTACCAAAGTAAATACTGTCCTTCCTAACCAAACCTGAATGACCTGCACATAGAAGCAACTGTGTCTTACAGCAGCTTTTCTTCTTAAAAAAAAAAAATTGTCCTCAGTGCTTCTGATTCTTTAACTGTTCTTAATATGTAAATATGGCTTGGTGGCTTCCTCACCAACTGATATGCCTGCAAATAATTGTAGATTGTATAGTATTTCGTAGCATGTTTTAATAGCAATTAGTAGGCTGTTAACATGGCAAACTGCAGTGAAAAACTTGTTTGGTGATGAATCTTGTCATCCGGAAGCTCTTGAGGTCCTGTAATCAGTTATGCTTTCCGCCTTCTATTCAGTCCTGTGAATTGTTTCTAATCCTTGAGAATATATGATAATAGGCAGCTGTAAGTTTTAAAGGTTAAGCAAAAACACTACTCCTATAGTCACCTGTGTATATTGAAATTTCTGTGACTCCATGGAAGATGCCCCTGTGCAGAACTCCTGCAGGACTTAGCACTTGCTGCCAAAGCCCTGGCACCTTGTTTGACAGTACTTCAGAGCTTTCCTGTGGCAAAAAAAAATGTGTTTTACAAATTGGAGCAGATTTTCAGAACTACTGATGACAGTACAGCCAGGCATTCAGGGTTAGGGCAGAATGATGTAATGGCAGAAAAGATGCAATGCATTTTGAAGCCCTATTCCTGAGTCTGCCTCAAGCTCATGGTTTGTTTCATATGCCAAAGGGAAATATCCATGATATACGGGCACTTGCTGTATCTCCATCTGCGTCTTCCCTGTCCAGCAAATGCTGCAAGTTTCTCAGAAAGCCAGTGTGATGGAGACGTACACGGAGAAAGTTTAAAAACTTATTGAAGATTTGATTTTCACTGCCTACGTGTGCCGTAGGACCTACAACTCCTTTTTAGTTCTGAGGTCTAATGGATAAATTTACAGATAGTCTTGATTGGTAAGCAAAACCTTGCCTCCTAAAATTTGAGAGCGGGCATATGAGTAGAAGACCCATCCGAGTGCTTGCATACGTTAAGAAGTATGTCATGAAAATGATGCAGAGTGATCTTTTGCAGGCTGGTCTGCTGTGTTTGCTGGCTGTGGTTAACCAAGGAGGGGAAATTGTAACCCACTGAGGATAGCTTTAGATGAGGCAGTTGGTGCAGTCACGCTACCCAGAGGTTCTGTGTCTGTGGGTTTTTAATCCACAAGCTAATTTAGTGGTTTGTGTGCTCTCTGAGGAATGAATACACCTACTTCCATAACGTTAATAGTAGGTATTACTTTGCCTACAAGATACGGCCGTGTCTATGCATGTAGTCCAATAGATGTGTTAGTGTGTTATGAGGAGGTACTCTGATACCCCTGAGCGTTGTATCCAAAGCCGAGGAGTGTCTTTGAGCAACTGAGTCTGTTAATTAACAGAAACCTCACCCTCAGGAGTCTCTCAGCAGTGGTTGGCGAGGAGCTGTCCTGTCATCTTCCAGACAGCAGGCTGCCTGTACTGAAACTGCCCTATGCAGCTTTTCGTTAGAGAGTTGGAGAAAAGAACTGTAGGAAATTAAGGTTTTAATTCTGGAAGGGTGACTGGCATCCTGAAGCTTTTCCTACTACGAGAACAACTCCTCTCTCCCGTGCTACTCCTGGCAGGGAATAGACAGCAAATGCTATAGCTAGTCCAGATCTGTGTGTAGATGTTTGCTGACTGGACTGCTTGTCAAGACCAAGCAAAAGCTCATTTCTCTCTCCCTTTCCCCCAGTGGGGACACTTATTTGGGATCCCTTTCTTCTGGTCAGCTGCTGACCTTCATAAAACTTGTATGAACAAGTTGATCAGCACATTAAAACGCCACTTGGGCAGAAGAGAGGGCGTAGGTGACAGAGCATGATCGTGTAAATATTTCTTTAGGCTAAAAGGCGTTTCTAAAAGTGATGACAAGCACTGATTAAAGATTAATTACAGTTATAGAATATTTTGTTGGAAGTTTAAGTACTCTTTAAGTAGGTTATTCATACGTATACTTTAGTTTTGAGTACATTTTTTAAAGGCACAAAAAATACAGATGGAAGAGTTTTCATGAGGCATGTCCGTAAGTATTCTAATGGTTTTCGGATTCAATACTTTTCACTGATGAGGACTGGAGTGCAGGTGCTTTGAGGTGAGGGCTGTTTAGCAGTCGGTTTGTAAGATGCCAGCAGTGACCCATTCTTGGTTGACTCTTAGGTAGTACTGTGGAGTACATGGGACTAGTAAAAGCTAAGATTAAATGCTGAAAAGCAGTTTAAGTAAGAACCTCTGTTAGGCAGTGGTAATAATCAGAAACTGGGGCACAAGTGTGTCTTTGAGCCATATAGCGTCTAGTTAGGGAAAAGTCTAATAAACAAGCATTTATGATTTGCTAGGAAGCTTGTGAAGAAGCTACCTTACTAAAGTAAGAGAAGTGAACAGTGCTTGAAAGAAAAAAGAAAACAAAAAACAAGGAGACGTTTTCATCTAATACCGTGTCAGCGTTAGATAACAGTAAGGGGAATTAGTTCTGTAGCTCTGGATAGGGGCATAAAAGCTGCTTCTCTGCGCTTCAGCTATCGTGTTTGCGGTTGAAATAGCTCAGCCACATAGTTTCACCTTGTTTCTAGACCGATTCGCTTAAACAGATGTTGGTAATGACCGCTGAGAGCATTTTCTCTGCTGTCACAGGCAAGTAGGAGCCTTGTCTCCCTCTCCGCTTTGCTGGAGCCATATCGAGGGTATGGGACTGCGAGTTAAGGGAAGGAAATAACCGAATATTGTCAATGGTTTATCTTTTAATCACTCGCTATTGGGAAGGAGATATGTAATATCCTTAAACTCTAAGGATTACAGTTTCCAATTAGTCTTGTGATTTCTCTTTTCTTCCTGCGCAAGTCCCCTTTTGTTTTCCTTCCTTTGATTTTCCTGAGGCTTCTCCGATCTGTCACACAACTGGGAGACTGGAGCGTGAGCTGCATGTTGTAACCCCAGTGGCTGTAACATTAAAAGTAAAAAAATTAAGAACGTTTCTTGTAGTACTCGGTGAGTGTGGCCTCCGCTGCAGATCTTGCAAGTAGGTAATCACGCCCCAGTCTTGACATCAAAATGCAGTGTTAAACTGGGGACATATAGCGTTGTGTGTGTGTGTGTGTCTTTGTGCGTTAGGGCAGCTGCCGGCCACCTCCGTGCTTTGCGCAAGCTGCCTGCCGAGGAAGCGTTTCACCTTGCTGCCTCAGTAACTGCTCACTGTGTAGTGGGTTCTGGAGTCTGAAGATAGCTTAAGCCAAAAGAAATAAATCTTTTTTTTTTTTCTTTCTACTTCTACCCGAACACGCAAAACTTTTCAGGGTTTTTGATATATTCAATATGTAGTGCATCAGTTGTGTTTTTTTCAAATTATTTTTGTGAATTGTAATTCACAAGGCAAATAGCAAACTTACAGGGCAACTATTTATAGGACTTTTAGAACTAACTTTTTTTTTAGTATGCTGAGATAGGAGAAGTTTATTAACTTAGTGTGTCAGGTGTTTCCTGGCAAGTACATTCTAGTTAATTTGAGAAAACTTGGTCATTTAAAACTAATTTTGTTTTATCATCCCAAAGATCCAAGGATTATAAGGATACAAGATGGTATAACTAGGCTAATAATAACAAATTTTCAGGCATAGACTTCCTGGCAGGGGTTCAGAGGGGAGCTAACAGCTTCTTGCAGCGCCACTGAAGGGGTAGTAGTGTGGCCTGACTGCAGAGTCGTGCACTGCCTGCGTCCAGCCTTGTCTCGCAGTCTCATGTAGCGAAACCTCCTATTTCAAGCTAGATATTTCAGAAACGTGTTCATATACCATAGTGTCTCTTTTACCTTCAAATGATTCATTTGGCCAGAAGCAGTATAAACAAAATATCCTAAACTGCAGTTTTTTTCCCAGGTGCAAAGTTTATGCCCATTTTTTGGTTCTCAGCTTCCCAAGGGTTTCCATCATAAACCCTCATCAGTCAGTTCCGTTCCATTCCTCATCTCAGGAAAGGAAAATGACTTCTATATCACTTTTCATCCTGCTGTTAAAGGAGGCAAATAAATGATTAAAGGAGCATGGAACTGAAGCACGGTTGCAAGAATAACCACCTGCAGTTTAAAAACCTTTGGCAGTTATTACAGATTTTTAAATGTAATAAATTGGTTTTCTTTCACGCTCTTGTCCAAGGGTGGTGCGAGTATATCTACTCTGATCTGCTGAACTGCAAGTAGCCTTCAAAGACCAAAAGATAGCAGCTTTCTGCTGTATGGATAATCCTGTAGCTAGTGCCCCCCCACACACACACACCCCTTGTGGGTGCTACGTTCTCATTGCTTTGGAGTTCCACTGGAATTTAAGTTACGTTTTACTTAGGTGCTTCTTGGCCCGTGGTTGGTTTTGCGGTTGGCCAAGATGCTTCGTCCCTCGCATGCGTTCCTCAGATGTGTGGAGGGGATAACGGGAAAGCCTTGGGGATATGCTCGTATCTCAAGAAAATCAGCTCGCAAATAATTCTCTTCCCGATTGATCCTATCAAGACTCTTTTTGAAATGGGTGGTGCAGAGGCCGAATGTTTTATCTTGTTGAAAGTCTTGTTTCACAGGCTGTAGAGCTTGGTTCCCTGATTATTTCTTTTCAGGGTGATTCATATTGACAAAATGAGTGAGCTGTAACATCACTGGGCAATGTTACATTTTGATTTTATAGGATGCTGTGGTTGCGTCGGTGGAACAAAATAAAACACTATTGATTTCAGAGGCTTGATCTGTTAATGCTTTTGCAGTTATGACAGTTGAAAAACTAATGCATTGCTGGAAAAACCCCTACTACAGTGTGACTATTTTTACCTCATTGATTTTAACTCCTTAATGCAGTTATTTTACCTAATATTTGATTCCCAGCCATCTGCAACAGTGACCTAAAGTGAGTTTCTCACCCCTGGTATGCGTGCAAACCAGAGACAGCTACCGGGCCTGTACTCTGGAGTAGCGAAGGCCCAAGCGCTGCTTCTCAACAGCTCGTTCCGAGTGATGGGGCCGAGCAGCGGCTGTTTGACTGGCCTCCTCTTAGCCGCTGGAGCAAGTTCTTTTAGGGTTTGGGGCTTAATCTGTCGCTTAATCCATTTTTGTGGATGTGCAGCGTCTCCTGGAGAAGACAAGGGAATTCTTGCTGTGAACTCTTAAGCAGAAGAAAACTAGCATTAATTTAAACAGGCTTGAATATTTCCCCTGATATGCTGTCTTGAACTCAGTGAAATTTATTGCTTTGTCTTTCTGACTTTGTTACATCTTAAAGCTCTAGTTTAGGGCTGATATCTTGACGCCGTAGTGATTTTTACAATTCTTACATCAGGATTAGGATCTCATTATTAACTGATATTTAGCACTTGGATGACTTACACAAGGCAATATTTAGGAATAGGCCATGTAGTTATAACTCATTGAAACTATTCTCTGCGCTTCACTGCACAGGGGAAAAGTGTTAAGCTAGGTACGTCTCTCCACAGAAATTAAACGGCCTGAATTAGGTCAATGAATGAACCAAAAATATCTTAAAATGCCACATGCCTACAAGTTTCCTTGCTTTTATTCTTTTATTTGGCACTAGCAAAATGGCACTGTTTATAGTTGTGCTAACACGGGTGTTTCTCAGCGCACTTGCCCTGCCTGTCAGCTTACGTCCGGACTGAGCCCCACAGCTGGTTTGGTGAGCGAGCGCCTTGTTCTGAGAGGCGTACAGGCTCTGTGTTACGCCGCGCTCAAGTGAGCAATATGGATAAAAGATTCTTAGAGAATTTACCAAATGTTCCAGTTTATGCAGTGTGGGTACTCTAGCTAAACTGGAGACCATCTAATGCAAGAATTTACTCTACCTAAAGAAACTAGGTTTTAAATCATTTTAAATACTTAAAAAATTAAACTTCAACTAAGTCTTTTCCCTCCTGGGAACGTTCACCTCTGATAAATTTGCCCACAACATATTTTCACGTGAGGTAAGACTTCTCGTAAATACAGGACTTTCGTTTCAGCCGAAGGCTTTCTGTGGAAGGAGTGCTTTATTTAGTATCAGGTCTCTGAGGTGTACAGGTAACAGTTGTTCAGAACGTCTAGATCGCTTCTTGGCTTAGGTGCCGGTTTTGTTCAGGTGCTCCTGTCTTCTTCAATTCTGTGTAAAACGTGGCCTTGCTAGAGAGCGGAATCAAGGGTTTCCTGTGTGAGGAGGTATAGAAGATTAAGGCAGATATTTCTTTTAATAGTAGTGTAGTCTGTAACAGATCTGCAACTTCAGTGCAGTTTGTTCAAGTAGTGTTCAAGTGCTTGCTCAGTCATATTTTGTCGGGTAGACAATATGTCTTTCTCATCATATGTACGTTTCCACTCTTTATCCCTTTCTGCATTTGGTTTCCCTTTTTTGTATTTAAACTTATTTATATATTCAATGATGTGTTCATTTTGATTTGAAGTCCAATCTCAAGCCTGAAATACAAATGTGCTTAGAATTTCTTCAAGAAACCTATGTATGCCTTTAGCATGTGCTAGCAAGTCTCCTGCTCCTCAGATCCCTCCCAGCAGGGGGGCGAAGCTCATCCTCTGCGGTTCCCCCACACCTTTTAATTTTCCACTCCAAATTCTCTCCCAGCCTCAGATCCTGCATGCCCACTAGTGATCTCCATGTGCTCACCCACTAGTGATCTCCATGTGCTCTGCTCCTCCTGCCCATAACTTCTTCCCTTGCTGCTTCCAGCACTTGCTCTCCCTGTCAGGCTGCCCTTTTGCTTGGCTCTCTCGACAGAAGCAAAGGCCCAGCCAGGCTTTTCCCTGGGGATAGATCTCAGAGCCTGTGTTTCACTCACCAAAACGTGCAGCTAGATGGGATGCTGAGGGCAGAAAGGGAAGGCATGTCTGCTTTTCCCAGCCTTTTGGGAAAAGTGTGCGTTTGAGCTGGAAAATGTTTGAGAGTTTTGATTGCTATTTTCATTGGTTTTTAAGAGAAATCTTAAAATAACTGTGATTATCCCTTTTTTCTTTCTTTCTTTCTTTCTTTCTTTCTTTCTTTCTTTTCTTTTTTTTGTAAAACAAATTTTAAGCCCTAAAAAGCTGGCATCAGTTATGCTGAATCTATTGAAAATAAAACAGTCCAATTTCAGCTGACTCTCGATAAATACACGCTTATAATTGTATCATGGCAAGTGGTGTAGCTGGCGTAGTGTTTAACTTGCATATCTATCTAATTTCAAGCTATTATTGAAAGTATTTTTAATTTAGTTGTTGACTGCGCTTAATACACATCCAGCCACAAGTCCATGTCTGTGCTGAATTTTTTGTGGATGCAGTGGGATGAATGTGGTGGGCAATTTGGTTTGGTTTACAGATAGTTACAGATAAGATCTTGAATTTCTGGGTGAAGTTCTTGAACAAGCCATCTAAAAGTGTGCATATCTTTTGCAGATAATGACTGGTATCTCTGCCATGTGACACTCCTTGCCCCAGAAGAGGAGCTTCTATCCTGGGGCATGTATCCATACCCTTATCTGGCACGTGTTGATCCGGAGGCCCGAAAAGGCACCGTGGTCTACCAGCTTGTTGCATATTACGATAAAAATGAAACCACCGGTGCTGGGATAACTTACACGCTCACTGCGGGTAGGTCTGAAATAACTGGTGAATGTCCATGAAGTTGCAGATTTTTTCTTGACGGATTTCTTGTTTTATCATTTTGTTAATAGATTTTATTCCTTGGAGGATCCTTAAAGAGACAGCCAGTAAAAAATGAGGTGCTGTAGGTAAAACCAGCATGTGGGTAGGAGTCTTGCTTTCCTTGCTTTACTTCCGTTTTGAAATTAGTTACCACTCTTACAGGTAGCTTAAGGCTCCATTTCTCGTACATTCTTGTCTCCTTTACGTGGTACCAGTCAGTAAAGCCCAGTGAGAGGGAGGGGTAAGGTGAACATCTGGAGAAGAAGAAAGAAGTGCATGCAAGGACATAGGTAGATGGTTTGAGGATAGCTTACCTTTAAAAAAAACGGAAGAAGCTAATGTTCTTGCTGCAGGGCAGCTTTCAGACTAGTTTTTTGCATGTGTTGATAGGTGGTGAAGAGCGATTTCAAGTGGATGTGGATACAGGTATCATCATGACAACTGGCTTGCCTTTGACCTGGAACAAGGAATATGTGCTTACTGTGCAAGCCATGGATGAATACAGCAACAAAAGCCCCTATGCCTCCATTTCCATCCTGGCAGGCACCCGGCCTCCGCAGTTCACTAACATGTCCTACAGCGTGTTTGTCCCTGAAAGTACTCCAGCAGGAGAAAAGTAAGTCAAACATTGCTAGGTAAGCTCCCTCATTGCAGTCTGAGAGGAACTTTACAGTGCACCATAAAGTGACGTTTTCTGTTGTTGCTTCTCAAGGTTACTCACATGTGTTTGTGTGTTGAACTTAAAGAAGTCCCGCTTTTTAAAAGAAATTATGCTTTTGCCAGTGCTTGAGAATCTCTAGCATGGCACACGATGTAGCATGGGATGCGGAAATGATCGTTTCAATGCCATTGGGGTCTTAATGTGCTGCATAATGAATTAAAACAAACTCCTGGCTAGGCATCTCCTAGAGCACTTCAAATACAAATCGGTACCTGAAAAGACTGGTTTTTGATAAACCAGATTTGCGGTTGTTTGTATCATGTCTGACTTATAGTTACATTTTTAAGAAGCCCATTTCTTCCCAGACTGTAGAGATGGCAATGTGTATGTGAGGTGCAAATGGATATAGCTGAGTCTCGGAGGGCTCTGCTGTTGCGTGAAGGGTAGCTAAGCCAAGCCATAGTGGGGAGATGCTGCTGAGCTGGCATTGGTTTTACTGTCACTGTCCAGCTACTTGAGAGCAGCACAGGTCTTTAAGGTACCAAATAGTAGCTGGAACCACGCTGCAGGACCTTGAGGAGCAGGAAAACTCAAAGTAAGCTGAGGAAGTAGGAATAACTGCTGAAGATACGCCACTTACTCCTTAAAAGAGGCTGTGAATGAGGAGCGGGAAAAATTATCTCCTTCCCTGGAGCTGTCAGTGAGGTGAGTTTAAAGTGTATCGTCACCCTGGCCAGAAACTGGTGTGAGAGTCAAAACTTCAAACATAAGTCATAGCAGAAAGGTAAACGTTCATTTCATTTCCTTCCTGAGTCGGTAGCAGGATCTGGAGAGGCCCTGTACTTCATATTTTCCCATTCATCTCTGAACCGGTTCCTTTTCTTGATCCAAAGCTTCAAAGAAATAGAGAAATAAAAGTACGATAGCTCAGTTATATAGGTAATTGAAGTAAAACAGTAGCTACTGTCAAGTATTTGGAAGGGTACCGTGGGAGGAGAAAAAAAGATGTTTTCTTGTTAGTGAGCGGCTGAAATGTGTTCTTATCCAAGCTCTGCTATGTCAGGGGATCGGTTTGGTGACAGGGGAGAGGGTAGGTGGATACTCTGTACCACAGGGAGTTCTGATCTGAGTATAAAACTGAGCACGGCATTGACAAAGAGTGAGAAATTCACCTTTTCTGCTTCTAGCTCTCTTAGGTACTCCCAAGGCAGTTCTTGTTGTTGTCATTCTAAAGCGAATACTTATTCTCTTGTTCTTTGCAGAGTAGCAGTTGTTGAGGCTGTTTCTTTCCAGAGCCAGCCTCTTTCATACGCTCTGCTGATGAACCCCAGCGGGCTGTTCAGGGTGAGGCAGGAGAGCGGAGAGCTCAGCTTGACCCATCCTGTGGACTATGAGAGTGAGCACCACCTCTATCACCTCTTACTGAAAGCAGTGGAAGCTGAGAGCGCTCTTAGCAGTGTGACTGAGGTATGTGAATCCCTTCATTTTCCCTAGCCACTGCCTCTTCAATTTGCGTTACCTCATTATCTGAGCTAGTAACACACACACAGCCTGGAAACCTTATGTGAAGATAAATGGTGCGTAGGAGGGAGGAAGTGTTATCATCAAGGTAGAAAGCTGCACTCTGATGTGGATTTGGTTCTAGGCTTTGCCAAATACTGCTCGTGTTACTTATCTTTGGCTTTGCGTCCCATCTGCTTGGAAGTGGAAGAGATAATACCTCTCTGTGTTGCAGGGACAGGGTGAGAAAAAGTTTAACATTGGAGGTGCAAGGATGGGACAGCAGCAAAAGCAATGAATGTCCAGATAGTATCCAGAATGAGGTGCCCATTGGGCTACGTGTAGAAACTAAAAGTCTTTCTCAGCATGTATGTCCTTTTGTCTCAGGTCCTGGTCCATATCACTGATGAAAACGACTGTTCTCCTGAATTCCAGCACTCCATTTACAGCAGAGACAACATTCCTGAAACCATTCCTGTGGGCACTTCTCTCCTGCAAGGTTTGTCTGGTACCTTTCCCTGAGTCTTGTCACAGGCCTGTCAGTTTGTGCTACGTGTTCCCATTCTTACCGAGAGAAAGCACTGTAGAGACGCTGCTTTGGGTCCTGGTGGCAGTATAGCTGTGGTAGCCTGCACAAGCTGTCAAGCGCTGACTTATGAAAAGAGCTTATGAGCACCAAGGTAGCTCTACTGCTTTTGCTGGTTCCATCAGTGCTAGCTCAGGTGACTTCTCACTGCACTGTGTTTGGTCACGTCGACATGCCTAAGGAAGGGGTCCTGTGGGATCCTTCAACAGGCCGAGTTGCTTGTAGGCTGCTTTTCCTTTGTGGGCTATAATATGTGGTTTGTAATCAGCTGGAATGAAGATGACTGAGCCTTCAGCATTGCCTTAGGTTATACCTCGCAAGTGGAGTAGTTTAAAGATGCACACAAGAGCAGTTAAGGCAGTTTAGCTGTCAGGCAGTAACATTGGACTGCCATAACTTGTTTACCTTAAATTTTTCCTTTAACTCAGCTTAGCCATCTTTTTTTTTTCCCAGAAGCAGTCGCAACTAGTTCTTCTTTTCTTAATACATTAAAGAAAAAAAATGATCTTTTTTAAAGGAAAGCCACTAGCTTTATTAAGTAGATTTTAACACCGACTTGCAAAGTGTTAAAAGAGAAACTTTTGAAAGGCTTGTGAACTTTATTTTTATACTCGTGGCTTATCATGTTATGACTCATTGTGTTGCGGTTCATTTTTGGTTTAATGGCTTTTGAGGAAAAAATAAGTTGCCAGTTGATTAGAATGACCAACTCCTAAAAATTCCCAAGCACGTGATTGTGTTTGGAAACATGAATCCTTTTCTCTCCATCAGACTTGTAGTGCTGATGAAAATTCACCCTGTTGTGGGAAAAAACGTACCCCTATGTCCAAAGCCAACAGAGTAGCACAGCTGTGCAGTAAGGTTTACAGTTGCATCCGGTTCTATTGTCTTGCCGTACTGCGTAGTCTTTGAGATCTTTAAAAGAAAACAATAGGTGGGAGTGTAGCGGCAGTCAGTGAAAAGGGGTGGGTGAATGCTTGCCTGTTGTTGAAGGACTGAAGAGCCTTTGGTAAAGGCTGCAAGGAAGTGACATGAGCAGTAACCTGTACCCTGTGCTGGGTAAGTACTGTACCGCTGAAGCTGACTGCCGAAAGAACATACCATTGCACAAAAGGCCATTTCCCTGGCTCCTTGAGGACTAGATGGGATTTAACAACCTCAGGATGTTCCACAAACAAAAAGAAATGCAAATTCAAGACAGTCTTGTGGCTCTGGCTGATTGGCTTGTGATCAACAACAGTGAAAAAGTTACCGTGATATATGCCGTTAGTTAACACTGTGGATGATGTAAATGTAGGTCTTAGTTGCCAACCATTTTTATTTTACTACAATTGAAGTCTGGCTTGCATCATGTAATACTGATGCTGTGCTAACAGAGTTGTTGTGTCTGCTTAGTCATTATGGGCAGATTTGTGCTCACTGCACGTGCTTTAAGGTGTCTGGACGCAAATAAGCTATGAGCCGAAAGGCATAGCGATCTGCTCTCAGCAGGGTTTAGTGTATTTGTTCAGCTGCAAGCACTGCTGAGTTCTAGTTGGCAACTTTGTGCTTAAAAACTAGGCTTTGAACTGCAGTAAGCTTGCATTAATCTAGCTCAGAGCACAGGTGGAGCTAACACAGGCCTGTTTGTAGTCTCTGTATAATCCTTGAAGTACCTTTGCTGTGCAGGCAGGTTACAAACAGTTTACAGGATGGAAGGAAACGTCCAGTTGCTTTTGAGAGGTAAGGTGTCTCTTTTCACATCCGAGTAAGCGTCGCATTCCAAATTTGCAGGAGAAAAGCTGGGAAGAAATGCATGATCATTAAGCATGTAGAATGTAGTTCTGTGAATTAAAAAACAGTTACAGTGTCCCAGTAATGGCTCTGTAGATTAAACTAGAACTTTTCAAATCAAATACATAATTCACTATCTGCATGTCTTTCTAAAAATGCTACTTGACCACTAAATTTAACTGTTTGTAGCCACTTTCATTCAGATGTTTCTTGAGCTTGTGATATGATTGTCAGTACGGCAAGGGAAGAGATTAATTCCAAAGCCCCTGCTTTTGTAGTCTGTAATACAGAGAGATGTTAAACAATTACTGCAACCTTTTAAACGGCGATATGTAACTCTCCAAAGGCAGAGGCGGTTCCTTTTTGCCAGTCAGTAGAACAATATTTCACAGCTCTTTTTGAAATCTTCCTTTCTTTCCTCCCCTTTCCTATTTTGAGTTAATATTCTGATAATTATGGGTCATTGTTTCTTCATCTCACATTTTATTTTTGTCTTTTTGAATGAAGTGTAGGCGCCCATTAGGGTGTGCAATATGCTTGTTGCGTGCCCTGGAATCACGTTGATGTATTGCAAGGGAGTTTTTGCTACTGAGTTGGCGGAATTTGGATCCTCCAGGTAGAATAAGGAGTTTGCTTAAAAATCAGTGCTGGTATGAGGTGAATTCTCTTTGTTTGACTAGAGAAGTGGCAGGATAATTAAAGAGGTGAGCTCCTGCTCCTAAAATGGCTTTCCATACAGCGTGTAAGCTCTAGCTCTTTGTTCTGCTGATTTGCTGCTTCTGAACAGATGGGAGAATCTGAGTGCGCTGAATAAACACTTGCTGGGGAAGGATGTTTAATTACTCTTTGTACCTTGAAGTGCCAGGTAATTAAAAAGTACTTTAGTTTTAACGTAGCTGGGAGCTAATTAAATTTGAACGGCATCCCCAGAGAGAGCAAGGACACAGTCTATGACTGATAATGTTCTAACAACGTGCATATTGATTGTGGGGTAATTACCAGCGTCGGCTGCTGTTTGTGCAGAGCGTGTTGCATGGTATTGGGATCGCTGCTCTCTTGCAGACTCACTTTGCTATGACCAGTCAAGCTGGGCTGGGGGCGGGGGGAGTTGTTTTGTTTTTGGTTTTCCTCCCAGTCTCCTGCTGGATTCCCAAACTCTTGCTGCAAAAGTAACGCTTTTATGCATAGGATAGATTTGCATGACGCCTATTCTCGGAAGAGTATCTCCAGTTTCTTAGATGGAAAATAATGTAACCAAACCGCTTTTGCAGCATGACTGTTCCGTTAAATGTGTTTTCTAATAGTTCTTGCAACAGACTGTGACTCTGGTTCCAACGCGGAGATCACTTACTTCATTCAGAGCGCTGATTTTTCCATCACACGTCATGGGGTCATCAATTCTAACCAGAGGCTGAACTTTGAGCGAGCGAACCACATGTATGAGTTTGTGGTGATAGCTGTCGATAAAGGACTTCCCCCTCGGACAGGAACAGCGTCTGTGCGAATTCGAATGGCCAACGTGAATGACGAGGCTCCTGTGTTCTCCCAGTCCATGTAAGCTAGGTTTAACACTTGCACTGTTTTCTAGAGCTACTGTTAATATGTATAATCTTAATAGCACTCGTCTTAACGGTCACCTTGTTTTTTGTGCAACTGTAAGTACCAGCAAAATCAAGGAGCAGCTTGTATGAGGAAAGGCTTTTAGAAGTCTCTCGCTCCTAGATTGTATCGAAAAAGGACTACACAAGTTGTGATGCTAGCATACTGACTTGTTAGATCAGCTGTTTTCTATAGAGGTGATAGAATGAATAAAATATTGAACTCTGTGGGGAATGATGTGGACTGTGTTGACTCCTAGGTCTGAAAGTGATTGCCTATGTATAATATAAAACAGATGGAGGTGGTAGTTAGCATACATGAAAACTAATTTTTATCGTCAGCAGATTGTATGATAAGCTAACTTCATGAGGCCGCGCTTGGTTAAAATGTCTTATTTTCTTTTGCGAATGATTATAATTACTATTTTTTTGCGTAAGTTTAAAGTACATCCATTTTCAAAGTGCAATATGAAATACTGTTTTACATTCATCTCTCCAGCATCTGATGCTTTCTGTTAATATGTAGGGACATCAGAAATACTGCGTGGCGGATACTAGTCCTTTTCCTCATCCTTAGGAGAGGAGATAAGTGATCGTGGTTTGCAATGCAGTGTGGTATAGTGCATACTGATACCTTCTAAAAGATCCTTGGAAATCATATGTATCACATTGCAGGATTACAATCCTAACATACATACCTTACACGGAACATGGGTATTCAAAGTCTTTTGTCTTAAACTAGTTGAAGATCTTGCATGCCCACAGCTTAAAAAAAATTGCATTCATAATAAACTTGTAATCAGTGGTGGATTGTTAACACAGTAATGGTTATTCTGATAGTAAATGTGCCGTAATTGCTCCCATATGTGCATCAGTTACAGAACTTTCCTTTCGGAAGATGCTGGTCCCAGTACCTTAGTGGCTACTGTTAGAGCAAAGGACCCTGATGGAGATGGGGTGTTATACCTAATTATGGGAGGTAATGAGGAGGGCAACTTTGAATTGGATAGTCAGAAAGGTAAGAAAAAAGGTTTAAAAACACTATTATTTACTGTCTAGTCTGTCTTGACTCTGCTTCACCTTTGTGTCAAAAACCTTAAGTAAAGAGAGCGCTCTGTTCAGATAATCTGCAAATGGGGGTGCTTCGTATCAGTGTGAATTAGCTCTTTGATAAGATTTTCATTCTCCAAATAGCAATGAAAATTTGAGGCACCGGTCCAGGAACTGTGTGGTCTGAGATGACTGAATCCTGTGCTTTGCGACCAAAATGCCTACTCAACCAGTAGTGTAGTAGCAGAGAAACGTAATCTTCTCTTGATTTCTTTTGTTTGTTTGTTTACGTGGTAAAATAAAACAACACTTTATTCTCCCAAATCTAGGTATCATTAAACTCCGCAGAAACCCACTGCCTAATCTGAAAGGCCCACAATACATACTGAATATTACCGCAATAGATGACAATGCCTCTGGAGGACCCACTCCTCTCAGCAGTTTTGCTGAAGTTATTGTAGGAGTTAATGATATTAATAACAATAAGCCTATCTTCAGAGAGGTAAGATATCTTTTATCTTAGACAGACAGATAGACCGATCTTAGGTAGATACTCTTCCTGTCCATAATTTGAGGTTACAGACTCTTTCTTGATTACTTGAGATAACTAGTGGACATAAGGGACTGTGTTTGCAAAGTAGAGTGAATCTGTAAGTGGAATGTGCAGTCAGCTTTCTTGATACTTGAAGAGCAAAGTCTTCCTTCTCTTTCCCGCTTTCTTTTTCTCCCTTAGAACTTGATTTCTCAGTGAGTTTAAGTACTGGAAGTGATTTTCTTCTGAGTTCTTCTCAGATATGCTGGAAAAAACGTTGACACTGTAGCTAAATCATGTAGTCCTGTGTAATAGCGTTAGGTTTTGGATGTCTTTTTAGTGCACTTACTACAGTGACAGTACCTGGGTTCTGGAGAATCAGCCTCCAGGCACACGCGTGCTACAGGTAGAAGCCTGTGATGCAGACCTCGGCCTGAACGGAGAGGTGAAGTATGGGCTCATGCATCGAGATGGAGCTTCCCTGGGCTTCACCATTGATCCAGACACAGGTTAGTAGCTTTCAGCTTACTGAGTTAAAATGAAAGTGCCTTTGTATTGTTGTATGAGTGTGTGCTTGTGGGCTTATGCTTTAATAACAGTATAACTGCTGGATTAGCTGTAACAGCTTATAGAGTAAATACGGAAAGAATCTTGAGTATGCGGATAACCCTGCATATAGATTAAATTAAGAAGGTACTTATTTAAATTACAAATTAGGTAGGGAAACAGAACTCCTTCTGAAAGTAGCAAGCTATTCTAAATCTCTTACCTTCATATTGGACTGAGTGCAACTGTGAAAATACAGAGTAGAAAATAAACGTTTAACAGCTTGAGTTGGTACTTCCCGTTAAAGTGACTTGACAGTTCTTTCTGATCTCACACACAAATAGGAAGTCCAGTGTAGTGTGCGTAGAGACAATACATTCATACCAGGAAAGGACAGTGACAGACATTCTTGATCCGTTTTAGATGAAGGAGTTGGATGATAAAAGTTGATGAGGTTTCTATAGTCAAAACAGTAACATGTGGGATATTTGCCTGTCAGCATGCAGGACTCGCCAATAGAATAGAAGGGCCAAAGCCAGAGAAGCAGAATCCTGGGCTCTAGCATAGTAGAAACAGGACTGACGTGGCCTCAGGAAGGCCAGTTTAAAGTTTCACAGCCCAAAAGAAGAGCTGAGAGAAGGAGAGACTTTGTCATTTGGGAGGAAGAACTGACCTTTGGGAGGAAATTGTATGCTTTATTAACTGAGCGACATGGTTAAATCCCAGCGTAGTCTTTTCAGCGAGGCAGCCTCCAGCCTCCAAAGACAACTTTGATTGTATCATTTAAGCCTTCTGTGGTGTGACTTTCCCCCGGAGTAATAATGAGCTGTCTTGGACTGGAAGGAGGAGGATAAAGTATTTCTGTGCTCCATGAGGAGAGAAATAACAAGGTACTTAGACTGAAGCTCCTTATTTAGGGCAGCAGGGGAGAAGGCTGCTGACCGCTGGCAGTTTGTGGCTTGGGAGGAGCTGCTGACTGTGAGAGGAGAATTGGAGACAGGGGAGTTGTAATCGCTCTTGTCTAAGACATGCATTGCAGGTTGATGTGGATTAAGCTATACAGCTGTGCTGCGTGCCATCACAGCTTCCTCTTGTGTGGGTGAACTACTGTATCCCGGCCTGTGAATTTAGTCCTGAGGCTAAGTGACATGCAGAACAGGTGTCTGTGTTCCCAGGAGTCATCACAACCACGCAGAGTTTTGACCGGGAGAAGCAGAGAGAGTATACGCTCTCTGTTACTGCTACAGACCAAGCCCAGGAACCGCTGATTGGTGTGTGTCAGATCACCATCTTTATTGCTGATGTCAATGACAACGATCCCAAGTTTGAAAACAGTCGCTACCAATGTGAGTGGTTTTTAACTGCCTATCCCGGTACTGTATCATGAACCTGTTTAGGAGTTCCAGGTGACAATGATTGGTTTTTAGGTGACCAAACTTTACTTTTATTTGCTGTCAACTAACCCAGTTACTACTTACCCCATCCTCAGTGGAAATGTGAAGAGCTGATCGCTGTCCTCTTTATAACAGTGTGTTAACCACTGCAGTACACTTAAAACGTTGACAGTCTTCAGTTCTCTGGATTAGGCAGATATGATGCTTTTCCCTGTGCAGTTTTGCTGCACGTGGAATTTTTTATTCAACGTCTCGAAACAAAGCACGACATCCTAGCTGAGAAGTCGTCAACCCCAACTAGAAGGCAGTTGTCATCAGTGTCTCTTTAATATAGAGCCTCTGATCTTATAGGCCAGAATGGTCTTTATCTCTTGTCACACAACTTGAAATCTTTAGCTCGTAGCCTGTGATTGGCTGTGAGCCCTGATCCCACCTGTAACTGTGCCGCTGAGCTAGCAACCCCTTTTGTGCTGGTACTCTTCCCTTCTCATACCCCCGCAGTGTGCTTTTCGTTAGTCTTTGATTTAATCTTACTTGCCGTTTCTCCAGTTGAATCCTGCACTTCAGTGCATTTGAACTGTCTGCATTTGATATCATCCAGAAATGACAAGCATATTCCCTAGTGGCTGGCCTAGGACAGACTTTCCTTACACCATTGCCTAACCAAGGATGGCAATAAATGGTGGTTGACGCATGTGATAACTCCATTGTGGAGATGTTTTGCTCGTTCTGTGGAAATGTTTTGTAGGATAAAGCAGTGACCCGATGCATTATTAAAGCAAAGATAGTTCATAAGTATGTCATCTTTAGCATCACATAGGCCAGCAGTTTAGTAGGATTAAAAAAGAGGTTGGATGCTTGTATGGCTGTGAGCCTGTGGCAGGGTTTCAGTAAGGAGGAGGAGTGATCTCTTTGGAAAGAATCTAAATATTTATGTATATTTTAGTTATGCACAAGGACAGAAAGAAAATTGTTCTGTTCCTTTTAGAGTATCTTAAACTAACTCAAGTGTTAAGATGTAATTAGTAAGTAATTAGGATGTGCTGGTTGAGTATAGCAATTTCTGTATTCCTACTGGTGGATTCTGCAAGTGTGACCGAAGCAGCACTGAGCAGCAGTATGAATGAATAATTGCACTGGAGAGAGAAATGTTTTGGGACAGAGCAGAGAAGCCCTTGAGGTAGAGGAAGCGTATATGCAGAGATGAACCTTTCTACTGTACCTTCAAACATGTCCTTCAGATTAAACTGTCACTGATTTTTTTCTTCTTCTTTTTTTTTTCTTTTCAAAAGCAGTGAAGTTGTAAGGTTGCATTTTGTAATTGCGACAACTCTGGAACGTCTGAAGAAAGGACAGTTTTTTTTTTCTTTTTTCCCTCAACAGAGAGAACCATCAAAGGTCCTGTAACAAAGGCAGCCCTTTGGGATGAGGGGAAGTGCAGATAATGAGGTCACTCTATGGATAACACTTTTCAAGCATCTATACATAAGTAATCAATGTTTGCACGTCACAGAATTCAGAATAGTTTCCTCTATAACAAGATCAAATGCCATCAGTCCTTGGTTCCTGTTCTTCCTGGAAACCCCTCGTTCTTTATTGCTCTGCACTAGGATGCTGGTCAAATCCCTGGCTTAAGCCATGCATCCTGTCACCTGCGTGGAAGGCAGACTTTAAACAAATGCTTAACTGTAAGCAGTAGGGACGGTATAGTAATTGTTAAGAGTTAGGCCAGCAGCAAGCAGAAGTACATCAGATGGGACAGTGTGGCCCTTTCAAGTAATTATGTTTTCTTACAGTGTGATTTCACAGGATTTGACTATAAAAGCATAAATTTAAACACAAGAGAAGGATATTTTGCAGTGTTTCCTAACAATAAATTCCATTTTCATTATTCTGTTTCAGTGCCAGGAAACCTTTTCTGAGGGCAGCTTTGGCTGTACTGACATAACAGGGACGTGAATTGTAGGCCAAATAAACCTCCTGGGGGTGGAGGGAAGCTAGTTAAACTCCAATTCGTGTTCTTTGAGCAAGCAGTTGTGGTGGTTTTAAGATTTTACTGCCCCTATGCCAGAGACTGGAGATGTTGAGAAGAGGGAAAAGCAAAACAGAAAACATGATCATGTCACTGTGGAAGTGCTGTGTGCAATTCTGTTTGTTCCATCTCAAAAATGATATAGTAGAATAGAGGCATAGAAAGGAAATCAAAGGTATGATGTGGTTGAACAGGCTGACTGAGTTGTCTAATCCTGTCTAACAGCTACAGCCTTTCCGTTGTCTGGACCATTTCAGTACACTAAGCTGACAGAGGTTTCCTCTTAGTACATGGAAATCCCTCAGAACAGGATCAAGCAAGCACCAGTGGCTGCTTGGAGAAGGAAGTGGGACCGTATGGCTGAGGATGGGTGCAAGAAGAGGAGCAAACTCAGATCAGAACAAGCCGAAGAGTTCAGTGTGGAAAAGAGAGAGGTGGCAGGGATGTGATAGCTGTATCTACAGCTGTGCCTAGTGCTGAGGAGGGGACTAGGAAATGACTGTTCACCGTTTCTCGTAATGTTGTAGATGTCGCTGCCAAGAGTCGAGCTTTAGGCAGACAGAAGGAATGACTCTTCCATGCAATGGGTGTTGCAACTGTGCAACTTGTTGCCAGCGGATTTTTAGATGCTAGTTATAAAAGTGGGTTCAAAAAAGGTTTGCTCCATCTAGGACTACTGACTCAAAGACAGGATCTCTGTCTCAGGAGGACACTAAGCCACAGATTGCTGGGAACAGGGAGGGAGACCCAAGGAAAGGGGCATATATAAAATGATGATTATACCTTTGCCCTAGGCAGCTTCTCCCGAACACTGGCTGTGGCTGGTCTGTTGGGGGATCTTTACTACAGCCTGAATCTTTATACTTGATGATTACCTACTGCCTCCCAGTGGTGCTGCTGTTTCTGACATTCCAGTTCAGGATTAGTTCAGTTCATTAATAATTCCTTTTGGAGCCAGTCTGCTTTTATCAGCAGTTTAACCCAGTAGCCTGGACTGTGATCTGAAGCAGCTGGAAGCCAGGTGGATGTGGGGTTTGCCAGTCCTGCTGTAGAGGGGAGCAAGTGCTGGCAGTGGGGAGCTGGGGAGGGACAGCGGCAGCCGGAGCTGTGGGAATAAAGAGTCATCGGAACAGTCTTGCCAGAGGGCTAGCAGGGACTTTGTGACATGGGGCTGATGTGGTGATGTATGGTCCACACAAAAAAAGCAAAACCAGCAATTACTGAGCAATCTCCTAATCAGCATAATCTCTCTTGGCAAAGTTATGTTCTCTGAGGTAGCAGTCATTTCTGTGCATAAGAGAGAGGATGGGAACAGCGGTGGGGAGGGGGCTGCTAGCATTGCTGTGTGAGTTAGAGCTCTGCCCCACAGGCACAGTCATAAAGATAAAGTCAAGTCAGCAAGGCTTTATAGCAACAACTTTACCAGGGAAGCGATAAACCTGCTTCACTAACAGCTTTCTTAACAACCTAGCACGTAGGGGAAGGGAAGGGGAAGCTCAAAGAAGAAAGGATACTCTGTTAGTGACAATACTTTATAACCTGCCTCATTACAGAAACATTTAATCTCACGTGAAGGGGACTCTGAGGTTTTTACATGTTATCCTGATTGGAAAAGCAGTGGTAAAATATGTTTTTGGTGTGAAACCAACTACTCTGAATGAGTAGATTGGTGCAGTGAGGAACTGGTACAGAGAAGCCCAGGTGTGTTTAGCCTCTTCCAGATTGTCAGTGAAACCCTACGTGAGAGATGTCAAAAGAGCAGCTCTGTGCAGTAAGCTTGGCTTTGACCTGTGCAGATCCCTCTTTTGTCTATTGATTGTTATATGCAGGAGTATTTCTGTAACACGCAGCATGGTAAATTAGAGCAAGGATTGCTGACAATACATTTTTCTTTTCAAAGATTTCCTCCGTGAGGACACTCCAGTGGGGACAAGTTTCCTTCGTGTTGCTGCTCATGATGCTGACCAAGGTGTGAATGCTGCCATCACATATTCAATGTTAGAGCACCAGCTGGAATACTTCCAGATCAATCCCAACACGGGCTGGGTGTATGTAAACTCTCAGATCTCCCAGGTAATGGGACTGTATGCTCGGAATAGAGCAGCCTTCAACCCCTCAAATCTATCGCAGTGTTACTTGCAACCTCTTGATTCGTACAAAGTGGTTTGAAACCGTCCTTGATCATCTTCATTTTGTAGGCAACACGCATTAGTCGCTATATTGTAGCAACAGATGGAGGCAACAGAAGCAGCACTGTGGAGATGACCGTAACTATCACTAACGCACTCAGCCAGCCACCCCGCTGGGAGCAGAACAGATACTGGGTAACGATTCCCGAAAACACCATTCGTGACACCAAGATAGTGGTATGTTAAAAGTATGATTGCGTCCTTCCCTCTCCTTTCCGCTTCATCATCTTTCTCTCTTGTGCTCTGTCTGTATCCTCGATAGCATATATGCATGCCCATTCTGCAAACGTGTTGTGTTGCGCTGTTTCCTTGTCAGCCTCCGTAACTGTGTACTCCGTTAGTGTTAGACTGGTTTGTTAGGAATATCTGTTGCAGAATACGCCAGCGCTTTACCTGGCAGCGTTTCTCTCGGTGACCCCTTAAACTAGTGGCCTGCAGGGTATCCTCCCACAGGCAGCCTCTTTGAATAAAACGTAAGATCCATGCTCTGCCTGTGCGAGAAAGCCTTGAGTGTTTTCACCAAGGACTAAGCTGTCTGCTCCTGCATCCTGCCTGAACTATGCTGCCTGCCTGAATCCTTCCTACAGCTTTTCTCATGTGCTCTTTAAGTACTGTTGCAGTTTATCTGCTCCATTTTAGCAGTAGTTTGCGTTAGGAGCTCTTCTGTCCCACACCCGTCTCTTTAATCTGTACAGGCTTAGTCTTTAAGGATGGTCTCTCTTCTGCAAATTGCCAGATAACGCCTGCCTTCCTCCTCCTGCACTTGATATCCAAGAACTTACAAACAAAACCAAATTGTTTGCATCTTGCCTGGTTAAACGTCCAACTCCGTGGAGAAACAGTCTCCTTTTGGATTACCTTTGCTGTGGAAGGCAGAGAGAAGAGTAATGTCTTTAGCCAGTAACACACAGTTATTGTTTGGCACATTTACAGGCAGTTGAATTTACTGTTGATTAAAGAGCTGCAGCAGACCTAAATATTGTGAAATTAAACTCAGCTCTGCAGAGTGAAAGTCAACTTTCTCTTTTGTCTGTTGTCCTTGTCATGCCTGCGCAGTTCTTGCCATCAAATTGAGCATTTAGTACTTGCAGCTCAACACTTCATGAACATACATGATGACTCTTTTTCTCTTCAGACTATCAAAGCCACATCTCCTCTTGGCGATCCCAGGGTTACATATAATCTGGAGGAGGGCCAAGTTCCAGAGACTAACATGCCAGTTCGTTTCTATCTGAAGCCAAACAGAGTTTTTTTAAGTCTTTCACTCTGAGAGTCCGGGCACAAAATGTGGCAATGACTCCTTTAGCTTCCTTTACTACTGTCTGTGTCAATATAACAGGTAAGTACCATTGTTGGTAGAACAGCTCATTCAGGACAATATTTCTGATATTTTTACTATAAGACCATGAAATGATGTAGCATGCATGAGATTCCTAGCCACCTAGAAATTCTTTGGACAGTTTGAATCCTATGAAAGGAAGTTCCGTACAGTCATAAAAAAGTCTGTTTGTTGGATGCAGTTTCTAAGTGCAACTATAAAATGTGGAAATGTGCTAATGCAAAAATGTGCTATGTGAATGTTTACACAACACTATAGTGCCTGTCTTTATAAACGTAATTGCAAAGTTTTCCTTTTGATAGGAGGGGAAATCTAATAAATGTCCTCATGTTGTAGAAAGGAGACTTGTATTACTGGGAGTTTTCTGTGTTGTAGAAAGACAAACAGTGCGGATAGATTATATCAAACACAAAACCAACCTGTATGACGTTTTTGTTGCATTAGGAATTTTCTATTTAACGCTGAGGTTAAAACTGTAGAAATGGAAACGCCAAGGTGCCTACGCTAGGTAGAATTTTTCAAAGATGTGATCTAACCGTGCTTACAGTGAGGTCTATTTGTAAGGCTCCGCTCCTGTAAAACTACTGAAAACTGTAAGTCTGATTTTAATCCCCACTTTTTGAAGCACTGGCAAGTAACTTATGATATGTAGTCATTTAGGATCCAAATATGAATAAGCGAGTTCTTCAGTAAAAACATTTGTCTCTGTCACCACCATAGAAATGAGAGAGCTAAAACAGTGATTTGAATGGGAATCTAATGTGTCTGCTTTACTTCATTACAGCTTTGTCCTGTCTTCCACAATCTGCTGGTGCAAAAAGTCTTCTGATGTGTCTTCTGATGTAGCCATGCCTAAAGTTAGGGTCTAAACCTCATTATACATAAATGACCACATCCCAAAATATTTTTTCCATAGTGCAATTAGTAGTACCAGACTTCAGTAGCAACTTCATTTTGCTCACAAGCAAAAGTCCTTTTTCGATAACGTAGTATTCTATATGGAGAAGGTACGTGTACGCACATGCGAGCATGCATGCGTTAGTGGGGGAAAATGCAAGTTAAACTTCTAAGAGAGAAATAACCACCAGAAAGGTTCACTATGTAGAATTGTCCCTTATTTATACACGAGTACACACAAAAGGAAGACTTCAAAGAGCAGATAGAGAGTCTTATTTTCCATTGTCTTGCTCAGTGAATTTGGTAAAAACTTATCTCTAACAAGACATGTTCTCTCTCCTAAAACTTGCAGAAATAGTCTGTCAGGAAAGAAGGTTATGCATATGAAAGTGAAAGGAAATTGGGATGTAAGGGAGCCTGCTCTGACAACTTTAAAAAAAAAAAAAAAGTAATTTAAGACCTTGATACTACAAGTATTTGTGTGTCAAAATCAATGGAATCACCTGGTAGTAGTAAAATTAAATGTGTGCTTAAGGGTTCACAGAATGAGATATTAAGCATTTTGTCTGCTTCTCTTATAAAGATAGATGGTTCTGAGGAACTGTGATTACAGCCCTTCTATTTTGGCATTCTCCAGCAACAAAAGAAAATGACTTTCTTAAAAAGTGGCTATTAAATTGTGAAAAATGCAAAAAGATTTAGGGGAATGCGTAGCACTTAGCAGTCTAGTCTCCTTCCAGACAAAGAGCAGCTCCAGGTTGATTTGTTGTGAGTTGACCAGGAGGATGTGATTTCAGAGCAAATCAGTGCTGTCACAGCCTGTCCCTTGTGCTCATCCGCTCCTACACAAAGTGTTTAAGGGAGGAAATGTGTCAGAAACTGGCCTACAAAATAACATATTTTTTCCCGTTTAGTTTTCTACAGGGGTCAGGCAAGGAAGAAAAGCATTAAGCAAGACCACATTGACATAGAGCGTGGCTTCACATTGCACTTAGTCTGGTGTGACTGCAGACTGCCACTACAGAGGCAGCCCTTTCTTTCTCCGAGGCCTGTCTCTGTGCAGTCTTGTGGCTTCTCTTGCGCTGGAGCTGGTAATAACACAGCTACAGAGTATGTTAGGTCAGCTGGCCCCGTTCTCCTCAAAAAGTTTTCTGTCAGAACAACAAAAACGAGACGAGCAGTCTCACCATGCCATGACATGATCACTTGATGCACCTGGTGGGAGAGAGGATCCCATTGCTTAGAGCAGGATGAGAAGGAATATCAGTGTTATTCCTTTAGACATCAGCCGATAGTTAGGCCGGGGGAGGCTAACGTGCAGCAATATCCTAAATAGTTGTTGGGTCCTACAGCATAGGACTGACTATGTGCGCTGGAGAGCTCCTGCAAAGACCAAGAAACACTGTCTTACACACGTTTTTCATCAACTCTAGTCTTCTCAATTTAATTTCCATTGTGTGTTAATCAGTCCTTAATAACATGCTGAAATTAACTGCTGTGAGTGGTTCTGCTGTAGGTTTCGGTAGATAACCAGCTCTTTACAGACTGGATGAAAGACCTGCTGGTCCTGCCGTTTGTGGGCTTATAATAAGACTGCTGGTCAAATTATTAGCTAGTGTCTTATCTGAAATTAGGCTGCTGTCTGCCAGAAATTGCTCACTGTCTGTAAAATGTCTTCTGCTAGGTGCCGTGAAAATGGGAAGACCCAAAGCAGGATCGCGTCTTACTAAGAGCAATTGAGTTGTTTCTCCAAGCAAAATTATGACAGTGACAAAATACAGTATATTAAGATGCGTTTCTAAAAATCTTCTAACGTTTTCTCACTGTAGTCTCAATCATCTCCTTTTGCAGATGTCAATGATAACGTTCCATTTTTCGTGTCTTCTAACTACGAGGTGTCTGTGCCGGAAGGAGCTGCTGTTGGCACACCTGTGGTTCATGTTTTAGCTACAGACTTGGATTCTGGCCTACATGGAGAGGTTTGACCTTGTATCCAGTTCTTTTCCTCTCAACAGACAAGTTTTACTGTTATAATCGCTGAGAGTGCACAGCCAGCAGACGATAGGGTAGTAAGCCCCAAACACTTACTTCTACAGCAGTTGTCGAGCGTTTGTCTGACATATGCCTGGAGTTGAAGTGCATGATATGGGATGTAGGCAGAGAAGGCGCTGTTCGCAGTCTTGGGATCCTGTGTCATAGCAACTCATCCTGATCTAGCATCTGTGACAAAGCACTGCTACCTGATTCTGTGGGTTGCTCCCATGACGTGATAACTGGAGGAGACTGCAGGATACGTCTCCAAACTCTTACCTCTTTAGCTCATTATTTAATATTTGACCATCCTTGTCATAGTAACCTGACCCTAGGAAAAAGTAGTGTTATGATGGGAGCTGCACATTTCCGCACATTTTCCTGAGCCTTTTTGAAAAATCCTGTCAACTCTTCTGTGAGAGAACTCTGGCTAGTAGAGATTTATTGTTTTGTAACTGTTGTTTTGCAGCTTCTGAAGAGCAACCGATGTAGTGTAACTGTGCCTGGCCATGCTTTCTGCATGACATGGGGATGGGGGTAGAAATAGTTTCTTCAAAGGAAGAAGCCGAACCTTTGTTGAAGTGGAAAATGTGGACAGCTTTCATCAGTGAAGGTTTTCATTTGTTCGTGGCTGTTTTTGTAAAAACTTTTGAACTGGATCCAGACTCTCAGCCCCAGTTTTTGGTATCAGGAGCGTGATGGCGTGATGGGTTGCTAGAAGCTAGGCAGGTATCAGGGAAGGTGTCATTCTGTACTTTCTCTGTCTTTCTGTTATTCACATTCTATTTACACTATCTCTAGTCACTGCTGGAGATGAGGATACTGGGCTTGATGGCCTTTGTCTGATTGGTACAGCTGTTTTTCTGTTAGAGAGCTCTGATCTTTTTCTTCAAAGCGGGCACGCTTCAAAAAATTCTGTCTAAATGAACTTCCTTTCCTCAAAGTGTTGCTACTTAGCAGAAAGCCTCAGGAAGCTTCTGGGGAAGTGTGTGTTGGGCAGGGGGGAAGAGCAGGCCCAGCACTTGGATGTACAAGTGAAAATGGAAAATGCAACCTCCCCTAACTATTTTCTCTCTAGGTTCGCTATTTAATATTGAAAGATGCAAGTGAGGACTACCAGTTCTTCATTATGGAGCCCAAGACCGGAATTATTTCTACCCATGCATCTTTTGACAGAGAGAAAAGAGCTTCTTACTTGATTGAAGTTCAGTCTCAGGACTCTTCAGAATCTGCTAGACCTGGTGTTCATGGGCAACCCAACACAGGTAAGACTAGTTAGGAATTATATATTGGATAAAATATATCAGATATTAGGTTGCTTAACTTTTCTGGAGTTGGGATGTGTGAGAGATATCTGGAATAAAGAAAGGTGTTCCATAGTCTGCATGTTCCTCTTGCATCTCCTTTTTAGACACCGCCTATGTAAGGATTTTTGTCAGTGATGTGAATGACAATGCTCCAGCGTTTCCGCAGTCGGTGTACGAGATCAGCATAGATGAAGACAGGGATGTTGGAAGTCCTGTTATGACAGCAACAGCAAATGATGAAGATGAGGGTGAGTGGACCTGCGCTGTGCATATCTTTCTTTTTTTAGTCTTGTTGGTATGACTGTGCGTTGTGTATAGGGTTGCTTCCTTCTCGGGCAAATAGATTTGCATTCAGGAGATGGTTGGGCATATTTCAAGCATTTGCGAAAGAGAAGAAAGAAGTTCTGGACACATGAGAGCATTTTCTTTTATTAAGAAGCTCAGGTTTTCTGTATGAGGGTTAGCACAGCGTGGCAATATCTTTGGGGTAGAATGAAATCACCTGGAGTTACAACCTTTTTGTTAACTTCACAAGAGCCAAGACCCAAACCCGCTCCTGACCACATGCTTACCCTGTGCCAGCTCCAGTGCTTGCCTGATCTCTCTGTGAGCCCCTTTCACCACTCCAAGAAAACCTAACCTGTGTGCTTTTTGGTAAGTTAATGATTTGGATCTGTGGAAGGATCTGACAAGCAGTGGAAAACGTAGGATGACATAGCCAGACATGAAGGCAGGGAGAAGGCAGGAGTAAAGAAGGAAAAAAGGGAGAGTCAGATTGTCTCTCTGGGGTGTCAGAGTCCAATGCTCTCTGTATTCTTTTAGATATTCCGCACATGGAGGATGCAATATTTAACATAAAAATTTACTTATTTGAAGATATTTGATATTACCTGGGATTTTTGGTTTAGCAGAGAGATACAGCAATACACTGAAATCACAATACAAGTGTACGTTACACTTAGGAAAATATAGGAATTGCAATATACAGTTCAGTCACAGTACGAATGTGATTCCCGTTATGGGTCTGCACAGATGACGACTTAGAACAGTGGCAGTGCTTTCTATTAATTAAATAGTAGTTTTATCTAGTTAATTTGGGAAATGGCTTTTCTGTCCTGTGATGTAGGGTGGAGTAAATTTTTCCGGAAATCAAAACAACTTGAATGCATCGTGTCATGTTTGTGGATTTCTTTCTTTTCAAATAAGTAACATGAAGTACAAAACGATTTTCCATTTTATTCCTAAACGCGTTGCAGCAACCGAACAGCTACTGTTCAGATTGAACAAATAGAAGGCTCTGCAGTGAAATGAATTCTTTCTCAAAATAGAAGGCTTTTTTTTATCTATTAGCACCATCCAGTGGTTAAAAAAAAAAGAGTTCAAGATATTGGCGTTTGAAATGGGAAGTTTAGGAAGCCTTAAGCAAAAATAGCTTCTAATACTTTAACAGTACGTTACTTTTTATTAATATTAGCTTGAATAAATGTTAAATTAGAGGTAAAAAATTCCTTCATTATCAATAAAGAGGTGCTTGACCATGGCTGCAAATTGTATTTGTGGATATAAATACAGACCCAACCCCAATTTGCCATACGCAGATCCTTCACAATTACATACCTGGATCACTGTGTTCATGGGTGTGTTTGTTTTATCTCCTACTTCTTTGAGATGCCTCTCCACTATGTATAGCTGTATTGAGCATCCAGGAAGCGTACAAGCAGTGATCATTTTACTTTCTCTTGTAGGTGCAAATGCCAAGGTAAGGTATCAGATCACATCAGGAAATGTGAAAGGAGTTTTCGATGTGGAACCTGAGGTTGGCACTGTCTTCATCGCTCAATGTTTGGATTACGAACAAGAACGACGTTACGAGCTCCGGCTTGTAGCTTCTGATGGAAAATGGGAGAACCACACTCTCATCATCATCAATGTCGTGAATAAGAACGATGAGGCGCCAGTCTTCACTCAGAATGAATACCAGGGCAGTGTCTTGGAGGAGCTTACAGATCTGCCTGTACTTGTTGTAAAGGTAAATCAGTTTGCATAAGGCAAGGGAGAACTTGGCTTTTTGTTCAGCTCAACCCCGTTCAAGAAGCACATGAATTCAGATAGTCTCAGAGTGGGTGAGCCCTGGCTTTTCTGGTCTGTAGGATTCAGCTAGCAACTTCTGTAAAGTAGAGAATAAAGAGAGCACGGTTGAATGTGGGTGATAGACTTGCTCCCTTGACCAACAGAAACGTTGCAAAGTGTGCTGGCTTGTCTTTACAAAGCAAGGGAGGTGTTGCACTAGCAGATTTTGAGAGATTGCATATGCATATCATGGTTGGCACAAGCATACCTCATGCGTTTAGGTTCACAGACCCTTTGGCTTCATTTATACTAGCAAATAAAAGTTTCCAGGGAATGTTCCTTGACTCTGGAACTCAGTCATCTTCACTGTTTTGTTGCTGGAGCAGTCCCTGGCATGGTTTTGGTTAGCCCAGCTAGTGCTCTCCCAAACAATCCCTGGATGCAGGTCAGGAGCTGGGAGTTATTTCTGGCCCGTGCTAATAGTCATCTTGGAGGTATGGTCACCCAGATTTGGAGGGTAAGGGATTTTCACACCCTGCTGTCCACTCTGAGAGAAACAGTCCCTATTTACTTTTTCTTTCCAACTCCAGAAAGTTTCATAGGCAATATTTGCTCAACGGATCTATTCTTATTTCCCCTTAGTTGTTACTGCAGTTATTTCCTCCTTCCAAAATATACTGGGAAGTAGAACGCATTAGTCTAAACGTGATCTTTTTATTTCCCTAGGCTGTGCGTAACGTTTACTGAAAGAGTACTTGATCTGACTGTCTCAAAGCAATATATGTTTGTTGTTACAATGCATGTTATTTATTTAACCTGCACAATACCAACTGCCATCAATAAAAGAACAATGATTTCCCATTCTCTTTTACATAGACTTACAGGCTGTGGTTTGTCCTAGGTTTCTGCAACAGACCCTGACCAAGAGGCTGATCAAGACGCCATTAACTACTCCTTGCATGGACACGGAGCCAATAGTGAATTCAGCATCAATGAGAACACAGGCGAGATCACTGCAAATAAAAGGCTAGACCGTGAAAAGCGATCAACGTGGCGCTTTCTTGTTCTTGCAACCGATGAGAGTGGAGAAGGACTGACTGGCTTTGCAGATGTGATCATAGAAGTGAGGGATGCGAATGACAACCCACCCCTTTTCCTCTGTGTGTCAGATGATTGTTTCATGGGCCATGTCCCTGAGGATTCTCCAGCAGATACCTCTGTCATGGACATGACAGCAGTGGACCTCGATGACCCAAAGGCTAGTACAAACGCTATCCTAACATACAGAATCGTTCAAAATGTCCAAAATGAAATTAATCTGAATTTGTTCTCAATTAACTCGGTTAGCGGCACCATCTATACCATGCTTGGATCTCTAGACAGGGAGAAGGAAGACAAGTACCTAGTAGTAGTTGAGGCCAGAGATGGAGGAGGTCTCACTGGGACAGGCACGGCCACTATTTTGGTATCTGATGTAAATGACCATGCTCCAGTCTTCCTGCAAAGGATGTACACGGCATTTGTCTCTGAGAATGCAAGTATTAACACTGAGGTTGCCGTAGTATCTGCTGTGGATGAAGATGAAGGAGAAAATGCCATGGTTACATTCAGCATCCTTGATGGGGACAATGACCGCAAGTTCTCCATAGAGACAGATAAAGTGAACAACTGTGGGCTTATCCGGCTGCGAAAGCGGATTGACTTCGAGAAGCCTCATGAGAGGGTGTTCAATTTGACTGTGAAAGCAGAAGACATGGATTTCTTCAGCATTGCTCACTGTGTGGTCTATGTGGAAGACTCCAATGATCATGCTCCTGTTTTCTACCCCCAGTTCTATGAGGTGGCTGCACTGGGGGAAGATGTCCCAGTTGGCACCAAAGTTGTTCAGGTTTCTGCTGTTGACTTGGATTCTGGCCTGAATGGAAGGTTTTCTTTCCATCTGCTAAGCAAATCTGACCCAGGCGGCCAGTTCTCTGTGGCTAGCGATGGCTGGGTGGTAGTTGCGGGACAGCTGGATCATGAGACAGTGACACAGTACCACCTTGTTGTTATTGCCACTGATATGGGGCAGCCCCCTCTGACTGGCAGTGCCACTGTTTTAGTGACTCTGCAGGACGTAAACGACAATGGGCCAGAATTTGAGGCTCATTATAATCCAGTGGTCTGGGAAAACACAGCTGCTCCACAGGTTGTCCAGATGAACGAGAGCTCTACTTTGCTCTACGCTAAGGACCGAGACACTGCTGCTAATGGAGCACCTTTCTCCTTTCACTTACTGAGCGATTTTGACAGCGTGACTAACTTCAACTTGCAGGATTTCCATAACGGAAGTGCCTTGCTCACCGCACTGCGTACCTTTGACAGGGAAGTGCACAAGGTATTCTACCTGCCCATCCTGATCACGGACAGTGGGATGCCGCCCATGAGCTCAACCAGCACGTTAACTGTGAATATCGGGGACCAAAATGACCACCCACATTCTCCTGGCTACATGGAATGTCTTATTTACAGCTATGATGGTAAATCACTCTCTGTTTCAAAGTATTACGGTAAAGCCAAAGGAGCAGCTATAAGATTCAGGAAAGGACTCTGTCTTGTTCCTTATAAGCTAACATCTTAGAAATGTCACCGAAGTGCGCTTAGAGCTCACATGGAGTAACGTGTTGCGGGGCGCAGGACTGGACTATTTGGTTTGTGGAAGGAACTGAGACAGGCTTGAAGGAAGAGGATAGTTGGCTCCTATTCTATGCATGTTTCTGTCAGGCTTGAGTAATGGTGCTTGTTTTCAGGTACAGTTTTCCAGCAGCATTGACATTGCAGGGGGAAAAAAAAACTAATGAAGTTTGTAGTGTTGCTGAGAAGCAATGAGTTTGACTACTCAGAGAACCTTTTTCCCCTCCAGGCTAAATTCAGTTTTATTGAATACTAAATAGTCAGTTCAATATTAACCTGAGCTCATGTTTGAATTGCCTGAGACATTCATATAAGCCTTCAGCTGACAACTGCTGTTACGGGGGAATTTTCTATGAATCCTGGCTGCAGGCAGTGGGAGAGAGGCCACCTTTCTCTCCCTGCCTTGGAGGTTAGCTTGCAATTCTCTTGTGATCCAGTGTTCCCACATTACGAGTCCAAAAGCAAATTCAGTGACACAGGTAAAACGTTTTTGGAGGCTTGCATCCATGTGGGCTTAGGTCATTCCTTCCCTCCTTCAACTCTGGTGTATATCCTCTGGTTCCATAGCACATTAAATAGATTCATCTATTATGGAGACACTAGAAAATATTTCTGTATAGATGCTGCGGGCCATTTATTTGTATTGAAATGTTGTTCTGTCAGTTGGCTACTCGCTCTCAAGTTCAGCTTATTGTAAAAAAACAAAGGTCTGGTTGCTTTTTGCAGAGAAACTGTGGCAAGTACTGAGAATCTCTGCTTATAGCCTAGAAAAGCGGAATATCAGATCTTTTCATTATACCTGAATTCTATTACAGTTGCCTCTTTAAATTCATCTGTACTGTTTATTTCTGGGAGGGACTGTTCAAGTCCTCAGATCTTTGGATTTTTTTTTTTTTTAATATGAAAGTGAGGACGGGATCAAAAGGCTACTACTGCATTGACTGGTGCGTTCGTATCTTGCAGGAGTCAAACATCAGAGCATCCTTTATACAGTCTCCCATAAAATACCAAATGAATGTTGTTAGAGTTGCACAACAGGCTACAGGTTTCCCTCCCTTTTGAGGGCAACCCCTCACATGGCAGGGTTTGTGCCGTTTGCTTTCACAAGGTGAAATCCCCCGTTTTTTCCTCTTTTGTTGTATCTTCCATTCTTTACTCAGTAGGTGTATGAATCCAGATACCTGCGAGTCTTTCCTTCATAAATGGTCTTTGTAAAGCAAAACAAAACAAACTTGTGAGTTTTTCTGATAGGATTTAAAAACAGCAGAATGCATATTGCTTCCTGTCTCACCCAGAAGTCTCACCTTCTGGTGAGAATGAGCCTACTTACTGTGTTTTGGACATCGTTCCTACCTTGCTGTAGCTTCCTCCAGACTGCTGTTGTCTTTTCCCCTTTGCAGCCCTGACAATGTTTTGGTTGTTTATCCTTCCAAACCCCAGTCCTTTTCCTATCCCTGTCTAAACTGCCCTACAAGTCGGTTGCGCGCTGCAGCCAAGGTAACGTAAGGCTTGAACGGCTGGTCCGTTGGAGTGCATGCCCCTGTGTGCATAAACGGGAAAGTTCTAACTGTGCCATTTCTACGCTACGTTGTTGTAGGTGTCGTACCCACGACTGTACTGGGCCAGGTTCGTGCCCCTGATGATGATGACTGGGATCACAAAATCTACCAATTTGAAGGAAAAACGTCAAGGTATTTGGAAAGAAAATGGAATTTGGGTGAAACGAAAAGAACCTTTCCCTCCTGCAAAAATGTAGAACATATTTAAATTATCTTTTTTTGAAGACAAGTGTGCAAAAGCATTTGTTGATTAGAAGTTTGTGCACAGCTCTCCAAAAGCCCTCCTGAGCGTGATACCACAACAAAAGCTGCTATATGCTAGGCTCATCCATTCCCTGCTGCTCAGTGAGAAAATGTTTTTTGATGTGCCTTATCTGCAGTTGCACCACTTCAAATGCCCTGTTTCCATTCATATCTATAGGTCATATCAGTGAGCCACTACGGGGGGGAAAAAAAAAAACCTACTAATTTCCGTCCTCTCTCTTCCAAGCTCTTGGAGAGCTGGTGTTGCTCAGTCGGCGCTGTTTTTAAGACCTTATTTGTGTTGGGCATGTGTTGGCTGGATTGTGAAGGGGGCTGGGATGTACATGTGCCATTCAGAGGTTTTGACAGAGGTAGGTTATGCCTGGTGTGAGTTACTCTCCGTGAATGTATCTAAACTAAGAGTTTGCACCCTTTCCAAGGGAAGGATGTGACTATAGTAGCCTGAGCCTTGCTAGCCAGTTTCTGTGGCACTAGAGCAGGTAGAAACGTTCTCTATATACTAATGTGGAAAAAAGGTGTCAAAAGAATATAAGTGTATCCGGGTTTTATTCTGCCCTGTCCCTTTGTGAGGGAACACATCTGCTGTCTCTGACAGCTTTCACAAAGTGAAGTGGATCAGAAGAACATCAATGATAATTGTTACGTCTTAGATCTTTAACTTCTCACAGCCTTTTCCTTGCCTTAACTCCTATTACAGGTACTTTATTCTTAATGATCAGTCAGGATTGCTGACTATTAAAGAAGGAACCCCACCAGGAACATACAATGTAAGAGTTAGAGTCATTGATGGTGTCTGGCCAGATGTGGTCTCAACCGTGAAGGTTACAGTGAAGGAAGTCAAAGATGATGCCCTTTATAATGCTGGATCTATTCGAATAAAAGGTAAGCAACGTGAAGAAGTACATTTAGGATTGGACTGCTGGAACCTACCTCTTTAGCATTAGCGCTGTGTTACTTAGAATTCTAAAGCTGCTAAACTTGTGGAAGAACTAATAGCTTTCTAGATGATGGTTTGAAAATGCATCTTTGCATGGTCCTCTGATGCTGTCTGTGGAGGCACATCCAGGGAGGAAAAAGACGGCAGGAAATGATAGTTCAGTGCAAAAGTCACAGACAGGAGATTTCCGCACGAACTACAAAACAAAACAGTAGTTATATTAAAAATATATATATTTAAAACATTTTTAAATTAATATTAAAATATTAATGATTCAATATTTGATAATAATTATTAATATTAAAATATTTTTTAAAAAAACTTTATTTGAACAACCTGCCTGAAATTCATGAAATTGCTTCAGTCTTTTGTGGAAGAGTAAAATATGGTTCTGATTTAAAAGAATGAAAAAAAAAAAATCTTTTTTTGCTACAGCAGTTGTAGCCTCCAACATATGTGTTTGTCAGGATTTAAAATTCTATTACAGATATCACTCCAGAGGAGTTCATATCCCAGTCCCTTGAGAAAGAGAGTAAATACTACCAGATGAAGAAGCTGCTTTCAGAAATTGTATCAGGGCAACTGGAAAATGTTCACATTTTCAGTGTATTAAATAGCCCAGGTCAAACCCGAGGGGTTGATGTTTGGTTTGCAGTTTATGGTCCACCCTATTATAAGGCAGAGAAACTTAATGGCAATGTAGCAGCATCCAGAGCTCGGGTAAGTGTGTTTAATTCACATGAAACCACACCATCTTGTTATTGTATCTTTTCGGACAATATCCATTGCCTAATGAACACGCACGTTTAGAATGACTGATTGATGAGGGGGTTGTATGTGAGAAAAATGGACAGTTTTATTCAGTAAAGTCAAACATTCCTTTAGCACTTAGATCAAAAGTTTCAAATATGAATGTTTCAAAAGCCAGCCTGTAAATACATATAGAGTCACCCAGACATAGTGAGCTAACTTTCAGGAATGTGAACATGGGTTTGTTTTTTTTTTTTTTTCTATTGACTGTAAAAACCTGTTTAAAGGATGTATTTGGCTGTTGCCTTTCCATATACTGTCTTAATGTTTCAATTTATATTCTTCTACACAGAAATGTTCTGTAAGTGAAACTCAAACCTGTGTTCAGTCAGAAGTTCCAGCTTTATGATTTAAGAAGGCAAAATAGTACAATAACCATTTTGCAGTGGAAAAACAGGTTGGAAATGTGGATTGAAGATTTAGTAAAGTTCGTGCCCCTTGTGCAAAAAAAAGTTCCGCTAGTAGCGAAACTACTTGTTCTGTTTGAAATGCGTCCATTGGTACACATAGACTGGAATACAGTAATGTTCCGAATCAGTCCTGCAGTAATAACTGACTGTTGCCAGAAAAGGTATTTCTGCATTACACAATTCCTGCCTTTCCTTCCCAATATTTTTAAGACAAAAGTCCAAATTAAAAACACAACCCAGATTCTACATAGATAATCTCTCAAAACTAAAAGTAATTGTAATTTATTCACTCTACTTATGATTAATTTCACAATATTTTTGTCTTCTAAATATTCACTCACACTATAATTGACTTATAGCAAGGCTTTGGCTTAACAGATAACCAGGCTGAACTGCCTTTGGCTGGATACAGTGAGGCAGATGTGGGAAGGAAGTGGTACAGCAACCAGTTTTGAGGATAAATTAAAGACTGTGGCTTTCCATGCCTGTCGTTTGTCATTTGTGATCTTCCTCTCTGGAAAAGTCAGATGAATACAGCTAATTGTTCTCCACAGCTGGAAAACATCTTGAATATAAATATCTCCCAGATTGGCATTGATGAATGTGTGACTGCAAACTGCACTCATAGCACCGGCTGCATCAGCAAGCATGAGCAGAGTCATGTGCCCGCAATAACCACAGCTGGAAGCGTTTCACTGGTGTCAGTGACAGTGCTGAGTAGCGCCCTGTGCAGCTGTGCAGCTCGGGAGAGCCCTCGTCTCTCCTGCTCTTTGTACCGGACAAACCCTTGTCTCAATGGTGGCACGTGTGTGGATACTGACTTGGGCTACAGGTTGGTAAAGCTTTGTCAGGCGTAAGGGAAAACGTTTCGAATGCCATCTATAAGGAGGAGGATGGGAAATGTGAGGAGATGGCATTGCATGTCTTCTCACTGTGGTGATCTGAGTGGGTTTTGCCGACAAACCTCTACTTAAGTTCGTCATAGTCTCCAAGAGGGCCTTGGGAGATTTGCAGGTTGCACTAGTTCCCTTAAAGTCACCCTGCAAAATGTTCATGTTCTGTGCGGCCTACATTAATATTATTAAACATTTTAACTGTGTCACTAACCTCTTACTCGTGTTCCTTGCCTCTTTTTTTTTTCCCCCTTCCAAAAAGGGCATCTCATAGACAAAAATAGTATGAAGATGAAAACAAGATGGGACCGTAGTAGCTCAGAATGAGCCTGGCACCCTTTTAGAAGGCAAGCCCTAAGCATGTTTGCTTAAAAACAAACATCCCAACATAGGAAGGCAGAAATAACTACCCAGCAGCTCCTGAGAGCAAGGGTTGTTCCTTCTCGCACTGAAGCTGCAGAAGCCCTGGACGTGGTAAAGGTTTAACCAAGTCCCAAATTGCTGCTCAGATGTAACCAACCAGTGAAGTTTTGCTGCCTGGAAATATTGTAATGCTTGGCCATGTTCTGCCACGTATCACTTGCTCGACTTTGAGACTCTTGAACTTTTGCTCTCTTTTCACTATTTTTTATGAATAATCTTTTTTTCCCCTGACCCGCTTCTCTCATTCTGCTCTCGTTAGGTACTGGCAAACTGTGGGAAGCAGAAAAAGAATAGGTGCCCAGCTGTTCTCCCTCTCTGTCCCCTTTCCCATTTCCGTTGCTCCTTTGGTTTCTCTCTTACAGTTTTTGTTAACTGTCGTGCTTTGATTGCTGTTTGTTCATACCTGAATCACTAGAGCGTTAACAAACAATGAATTAACCCTGAACACCTATTTTTCCTTGTGTAAAGGAAATAAATCAGTCAGTAGCTTGCAATAAGAGTGAGGTTATCAAGATCTGTGACTGTGACCCCTTTTCTCACTTATTTCTGAGTGGGCTAAATAAACTTCTTCTGCTTTCTTTTGCCTTCTTGCAACCTTCCTTTGGTTTCCCTGTCAAGATTATATAGTCTTTTTAACCAAACTGGTAACTAGACATAGTGAAAAGCTGTTTTCTTCTTTTGCCAAAAAGATGAGAGGTTTTCATGTGCTTTCTGTATTACAAAAGCTTGATTATTTATTCACAAAATTATTCTTGCATAGACATAGTATGATTTAGGACTAAAGCTAAACTGTGTTTGTACTAAGAGAACAATAGGGAACATTTTGTGACAGAGGTGCTTTGCTGATGCTTGTTTAACTCATGCTAGGGCCTAGACAACACGGGCTGCTGTGGTTGGAGCGGGGATTTCTACTGTGGGAAAGCCCTTGGTGAGTTCTGCTTGGATGGTGCAATTTTCTTTCTTTCTTTCTTTTCCACAGATGCAAGTGTCCTGCAAATTTCCATGGACCAGATTGCCAGCAGACAAAACGTAGCTTCAGAGGCCATGGTTATGCCTGGTTCCCTCCTCTTAAGCCTTGCTTTGAGAGCCGTATCTCCTTAGAGTTTATCACTGAAGTGGCTGATGGCCTTCTGTTGTACCAGGGACCAGTAGCACGAGGGCAGCCTGGAGAGATGGAAGATTTCATTGCCTTAGGTTAAAAACTTAAGGAATATTTTGTTCTTTGTGTTTATGTGAGTTGGGATTCTACTTACACTTTACACTTTTTAAAAAAGGCTTGGAAAATTATTCTCAAAAAATGAGGAGAATACAGAACAATTTGCCAGGATTCCCGGTTTGTATCTTGTCACTGTACTAGAAGCTTCATTTTTTAATTAAGTTTCTTGCTCTGTCTAAAGAACTTCTCAAACTGAAATCTAACTGACATTGAGTTCAACTGGGTTAGTATGGGAACACGGTTAATGCTTACCTAATAAGTCTTTTCTTTGCAGAGCTCTCCGGTGGTGTCCCGTCGCTGACTGTGAGCCACAGCTCTGGTGACCTTTTCCTGCAGCTGTCACAAAAAGTTAACGTTGCAGATCGCCACTGGCATAATATAAAAATTATAAATGATGGAAAGGCAAGTGTAAATAGGGACAATCCTGTGGAAGCACTATTTCATGTACCTTCAGTTATCCCTTCGGAATCCTCTCTCACTTCTTTAGAGCTCTTTCTTCAATCATTTCATCACCGCAACAATGCGGATTACAGTTTATCAACTCAGACTTCCCTTTAATCTAAGGCAATGAGTCAGGACAAGGCCTTGACCAGTCTGGTCTAACTTTGAAGCGAGCCCTGCTTTTTTGGGTTTAATGATCTTGTCTGGTGGTTAGACCACAGACTTGTGATAGCCCGCAGAGCTAAATGCAAATTTGTTCCTGGACTGATGGAGTGAAATGTCCTTTATTTCTCTGAGCAGGAAACTCTGGCTCACTTTAGACAGATACACTTTTTGTGTAGGGGGAATTTCTTGCTGATACAATGCTGGTGAAGGCAGCAGCTAGGCTGCCTCTTCCTCTGCCGCATAAGCCAAGTTGGGGGTACATCAGGATCTGGGATGGCAGCCTGCAGAAAACTCCCAAGAAAATGCTGTCTTCTCTTTACTGTGCCAGTGACTTGGCCTACACATGATAAAGAGACAAGTCTTTTTTTTTGTCTGGTTCCTTAGTCATATGCCACGTGCAATAACTTTCCAGATTAGTGCATGGTAGTGCTTTATTATTTTAATAAGCTTCCCTAGCCTTTAATTTCTAGTTACTGTCCCCCTTTCTGCTTACTGAAATAAAATATGTAATTAAAATGTATCACTGTCTCCTGATGCAATGAAGTAATGTCTTTCTCTAGAAAGTGAAGCTGATTCTTGACCACTGCATAAACGTCTCAGTTAGAAACAGTGGCAGTATCAATAAGAAGATCTCCCAAATGGATCTGTCTACCTGTGAAGCCTCTGAAGAGATTGTGGGAACTCAGAGGTAAAAAAAAAAACAAAAAAAAAACCCAACAACACCACCACGAACTGGAAACATAAGCCCTGAAAAGGGCTAGGAAAAAAGGGGAGGGGAGATGAGGAAAAAAATTAAGCCAAGTCTTTGTGTTTACATGTCACTAATTCTTTTTTTCCCTTTCTTCCTCTCAGAATGGGTAGGCTCTTCAGTGGTCACCAGCCCCTGCAGCTGGGTGGAGTTAAGAAGACTTTTCCTCACCACAATTCTCAGAGGCACTTCCGAGGTTTTGTTGGCTGCGTACGCAATGTCATTGTTGATAGTAAGGTAGGGCTGCTAAGACCAGTCTTGGTTTTACTGATGCTAACTGCAGACACGTGATGTGGTACTTCTCTTGCCTATTCTAGGTCTATGATTTAGAGCACCCTGCAGAGTCCTTGAACAGCGCTCCTGGATGTGTCCTGACAGATGAAATGTGTAAGAGCTCTGGGGTGGCCTCCTGTGGTGTCCATGGCAAGTGTGTTGGTGGTTGGGATTTCTTTCACTGTGACTGTTCCCCAGGATATGCTGGACCGGCATGTGACAAAGGTACTGTAAGTTCTGGGGGGAAATTAATGGTGAGAGTCTGTGGGAACAGGCATCAAAACATACTGCTGTAAACTTGCCAGGACTTTGAACTGAGTAGCTTAACAATACCATGCTGCACTCTGGATGTGATTTAGACCTCCACGGATGTAAAGATCTTTCTAACTCTTGTTGGCTAAAGATAATGTCAGAGATGAGGCTCTTGATGAGGACTGTTTCACTTTGTGGGGGAGGCAAGTGGTCAGATGGGTTGTTTTGTATTCCTTTTACATCATCTTATTTCTCAGTGATGAACGATGAAACATTTTGCTTTGATATTCTTGCTCTGGCTGTACGGATCACAAAGAGAAGTTTAATGAACATGGTACTATTTGTCATCCTGTGGAGGTCATAAGAGTGACTAGATGCCAGCTTGGGACATGGCAGATCCTGCTATGTTCTCTCTGTGAAACGTGGGGACGCATCCCTCAATTCCCCTAGGCCCAGTTTTCCATCTGTAAAAGGGGGATAATTGCACTTCCCTCGGTCCCTGGCGTGAACTCAAGGTTGCAAAACACCTTTAGACCACAGCAGTGGGTTCGTGTGAGGACGTAATATCAGGCTGGCTCCAGCACATGCGCGTTATCCTGTACAAATCAGCGTGAAACGTTCATCAGAGAACAAAAACATGCAAGGGTGGATAATGAAAACCTCAGAGGCATTGTAAAAAAGAGCAAAATTTTAGCAATTCATAAATTTAAGAAATACATTCTTTGATGTGTAAAGTGCTCCCAGCAGCCCAGGGCCATGTTCAGGGCATAGGGGCATACGCTTGAAATTGGTTCCGTCCTTCCTAATGCAATATGTTCAGCAACTCTCCACACAGACACGGTCGTTGCTCTGAGGTGCATGTGAAATCAGATGTGCCTTACAGTATTATTGGGATTTTACCTGCCCTGTGTCAGTCTTCTCCCTCTGTGTACAAGGTGCAAACGATGGGGTTGGTTATAACAGCCTGTAATCAACGCTTGCGTCCCATAAAATCTGGGGCTCTCTGCAGTGTTTGAAGAGAATTAGCCCCCTGAGTCCTGTAATCTGAATAAGCTGCAGGTGAAGATGAGCAGCAGGGATCAGCTGGAAAGGGCCATGTGCAGCTATTGTTGAGTCACTGTGTTGTGATTAACAGACATGACTGGTGGTGTATTGTGCGTATCTTTTCAACGTAATAACGCTTAGATTTCCTTCTTGTAGAGAGAGGAATAATACCATTTACAAGGAGCCACACTCATTCCTCCTTTCTCCATCTCTCACACAAGACTGGAAAGGTGACATTAAATTCCTCAGAGGAAGCTCTGTCTGTCCACTGTGGTGAGGATTGAGAGGACCAGAATCATAATTGGCTTATTCTGAGCCTGGAGCCTTCATTGTTCAGAGTGTTTATAATGGCTACATAAATGGTTACTATAGATCAGTTATTTATATTAATGTTTTGCAGACAGATCATACCGGTCTATAAAAGTCTGCCTAGCTTTAAGTCTTATTCTGTTCTGCAGTATCTTGGGGCGCTGGTTCACAAGCCCAACTGCTTATTTGAGACAGCTGTATTGGTTCCTACCCCGCACCTTGGTGGTAGAAGCCAGTTGCTCAGGAACCAATTACTTAAAATCCACAAATCACATCCTGATGTATAAGGAGAACTCAGGTTAGTTCCAGTTTCTTCTAATAAGTTGGGCTGTAAAATGCTGGTGTTCAGCTGATGTTTTATCAATGGCTGAGCCTTGCTTGCAGGAAGGAGCAGACAGCTGGGGACAGGAATCACTAGAACATCCCAAGAAAATCCCTGTCTTCTTGTCAGCTAGAGCCTGTAGATGCAGAGATAGTGAACAAAAAAGAACAGTGGGCAAGGAAGAGTATAAGGAGATAAGCTAGAGAAGAAAATACCCTTTAAGAAGGAAAAGGATAGGAAAAAGAGTGAGAGGAAAAGGGAGTGCAGAGATTAAGTCTCTTCGTCATTTGATATTTCATATCTTGGGAACCAGACTAAGTGCCCCAGCACCTATTGGGCACTTTTTGGACTTCTACTTATGTGACACGGTCCTCTGATTAGCTGTTGGTAACCCAACGTTCTTCCTGTCCAGTCACTCCATGACTACCTCAGAGTATATCTTTATTTGGTAAGAAGAAATTTCTTTTTCCAAATAAGTTGTGCCCAGAACAAGCAGATCTAGGATTGCTGTCAGGGAATGAGACTGAAATGAGTGTCTGCTGCACAAGAGCGCCAGGGTCTTTTTGGTTTAGTCATATTTGGTTTACTGAAAGGGTGTACAGCATCTTCATCCAATTCTCTGCTGGACAACTTTCAGACGGAGTCCCCAGGATGATGAGGAAACAGTGAATGTCAGTGTGTTTTCCTTAGTTAAGATAATAAACAAACACTGACTTAATCTCTCTTTCTATTAAAAAAAAAAAAAAGTTACGGATTCTGACTTTTGACTCTGTGCCTGCCCCAGGGCTTTCTTTTGTTCCAACTGAAATGGAAAGAAAGGTGCATATTTTCTAACAGTAAGGGTTGCTAACCACAGGACTAAACTACTGAAGGAAACACGAGGTTCTAAATCTTTTTGTCTTCAGATCAAAGCCAAATACTTTACTGGAAGATATGTTTCAGATTTAAAAAAAAAAAAAAAAAAGATTATTGGGCTAGTGTAGGAGTGATTGAGTGAATGTGCAGCCTGTGCAGGCAGAATCTTAGAGACATTAACACATCATCCTTTTATGCCTAAATTCTGTATTCTTGGCTTGTTCTTTTTCTCTTAATTCCCTTGGAGGGAATTTCCTGTTGGAAGCAGGGAGTGCTTCCCGTGACGCTTCATTATGTTGTTAGAGTTTCTTAATAGCTAAAATTCTGACATTCAGAATTGGTAAATTCTTAAGCTGAGGAAATCTGTGGGAGCAGGAAGTACTGAGATTTCTTGTTTGTGTGTTGTGTTTAGCACTTCCAGAATGGGCTTTTGGAAGGGACAGCTGGATCCATTATGAGCCGAGAAGCATTCTCACTGCCCAGAGCACTCACATCCAACTGATGGTGCGCACCCGGATCTCCCACAGCACCCTCCTCAGCTTGGCCTCTGCAGATGGGAATGGATACATCCGACTGGAGGTGATCAGTCCAAAAGCTATTCTATTCAAGCGCTCTTAATCTGTCACAGAGTAGCACAGTAAGAGAAGAAGATGCATTTTCTGATTAAAGACACCTATTCCTCAATGTAATAAAGACCAAGAATTTTCCACGTGAGAATAACTGCTTTCATTTGTGTTGTCCTTCTCAGAAATAAAGCACAGCCAGAACAGTGTTTCTTGGCTGCAACAGAATGTAGTAATAGCTTTTTGTAGCACAAGTTCTAGCTGCAAAAAGTGCAGGTGAGTGTATGTGATACACCTGGAGTGGGAAAGTGTGTTGTGTCTTGCTTGCCTGTTGAAAAAAAGCCATGTGGATGATACTAGCCAAATAGAGGCTAACTATTGCAACTATAACTGGAGGGTCAGCTAGGAAGACTTAAGAGATAGAGATCAACAGATAGAAGACTGATGAAAAATCTCATCTTATTTAGAAGAGAGAAGGCCCTGTAGGTAAGAGAGCTGGTAATTCCTAGACCTGCACTTTGTTCTTGTGGGTTTTATCTTGCAATACAGCACCTTATTGCACCTTTAAAAACAAGAGTGCTATTTGTATTTAAAACTGAGGTCTGTTTCTTGAGGCAGCCCGCTGTCATAACATTCAGATGTGCATTTCTATTGCGAGTAAAAGTTTATCATCTTGTTTTAGGTGGTTGGGGGTTCCTTCAGTGTAAACTTCAGCTTGGGAGACAAAAATTACTCTCTGAGGATGAGCACCTTACGTATAAACAATGGCCAGTGGGTTCTGCTGACCATGGAGCGCTACAACAACGAATTTACCCTGCGTGTTAATGACGGCGGAGGTGATCAAGAAGTGACCTCTGTCTTGGGTAGAAACAGATGGTTTGAAATGGACAGAGTGAGCGTTGTGCTAGGAAACCGCTTTCCCAACCGTTCAGAGAGCGATTTCCAAGGTAAGTGATATGATGAGTTTGCAAAAGGAGGGAGTTAAAAACTGCCAGTAGAATCTTCAGGGGTATTGAAGAGTCTAAAATCCAAGTAAGAATTCCCATGGAGACTGCTCTGCCCATGAAATCCCACCTCCTCTACTGGGGAATTCAGAGCTAATGTTCTACTCTCCATTTGCTGTTAAATCTGGTCCTAGGGAAGTTGTGAAATTTCCTGTACGTATTCAAAAATAGCATTTCAGGTTTTTATTTCCCATGCCAGAGGCCCCAAGCGGGGAAGTTATGGTGGGAACTCCACTCTCTTTTTGACTGGGAAGAGTTTTAAGGAGCAGACGCAACCTTTTCTGGTAGGAGGGTAAAGATCTGCAAGGCGTTTCACAGTTCTCCCTCCATTTCCTCCAGTGGAGGTGCTGGGACTTTGAGACTGTGGCTCAACAGAAGGCAGCTTTTCCATTATGTTACCTTTCATTCAGTCCCACTTTTATGATTATATTTTGAAATGTTGATTAATTTAATGAAGGTGTTAATGGTTCATAGAACAGTTCTGCTAAATCATTGCATTAGCCCAACCAGGCTGCCCTGGAGAAGCACCATAGGTCTGTAAATCAACCAGGGCACTCGAACACATGTCTTATAGCTCTTCTGAAATAAAACTGGTAAGTGGTATAAGGTCCTATGTAAAGGTTTTAAGTTTTTCAACAGTGCAGCATGCTTTAAGGTCTCCTGCCTGTATGTCACGGGCAAGGCTTGAGGTGTGGAAGTTGCTAACGCAATGTATTTCTCTGTGCGCTCCCCTGCTGTGGTGCAGGTTGTATGCGTGATGTCCAGCTGAACGGTCAGCCGCTTCTCGTGGAAGGCAAAAGCACAGAATTTGGCTTAATTCTAAGGCGACAAGGTATCACGATGGGATGCCATTCCACTGCCTGCAGCAGCCAGCCCTGTTACAGCCCTTTCTTTTGTGTAGACCTGTGGAGAAAATACGAATGCCGGTATATTAAGCTTTTGTTTTCCCTGGGGTGATTGGGAAGCTCTTTCTTTCCACCTTTGGTCAGGCAAATTACTGTTAACAGTGAAAATCCTTGCTGCTGCTGGTTAGAAGGGGTGTCTCAAGGACAAATCCTACTCTCCATCTCACCCCCCCATCACAGCCAAACGTGCTGTTTCCTGTAAGGTCTGGTATGGAATCTATTTGCTTCACCATTTTTCCCCATGCTGAAAAGATGACAAGCCAGTGAGGAAACGAAATACTCTGAGTAAAAGGTGGATTGCAAAAGCCTTAGTCTCTATTCCTCTGTGTGTATGTATATATACACACACCCCTACATGCACATATGTATATATATGTGTGTGTGTGTGTGTGTGTGTGTGTGTATATATATATGTATGCACACACACAGAGTAAACGTGTCAAAATTAATAATACTCTGTATGAAATAGTGAGCTTTTCAAAATTAGACTGTCACAAAGCTGGTTTCTAAAACTGGCTGCCCAAGATCAGAACCAGAGCGCCCCAGCCTGCTACCTTGTTCAGTAAGTTTCTTGGAGAAGATCCAACCTTTGAAGAAAATTACCAACGTATTAAAATGTGCAAATGAAAATATAGGCATTTTTGTTCAAAAAAAGCGATCATGCAAGACTGGGAGAAGGTGCTTTTACCACTTAATTCCTCCAGAATTCAGCGAGAATTAGATGAACTTGTGTCATGGCTAGAGATAGGAATATCATTTACTTTTGGCACTTCTGAGGCCTACTGAATCATTGGTGAAAGAGACTGTGAGATGGAAGAGAGAGTCTTTAACATGCCTTGGGACACTCCTCTCTCCAGTGCACTTATAAAAGAACAATTTAAAGACACTCTTCCATTTATTCACTAGTACTTCCTCTTTGGAGAGCAGAAAGCAGGTCTTGTGCTCCTCAGAGTGTTCCTGCATTGCCTCTCCAATTTCATATCAGAAGAAAACACCTTCTCTGCAGGTTGCCTTTCAGAACTTCAAAATGGGTTGTTCCCAGCAGGGCAATGAGCTGTTTTTCCCAAAGGTGCAAGTGAACGTTATCAAGCTTATACTAAGTGCTTGCTAGCCCTTTTTCCTCTGGTCTCAGTTATCCATTTCCTGTTAGAGCTTTCAGACCCATCTGTAAATAGAGTTAATCTGCTCAGAAGCTCAGAGATCTGTGAAACTTTTTCATACGTTACCCGGACAGGGAAAGCAGAACATAGGTTCACATCTTCCTAAGCCTACTAGCTTGCTATGTTAAGAGTTTACCTCTGTTTCATGCTATCGATGTGGAAGTGTGATTTGCCTGAAAAGACTTTAATTGTTATTTTTAAAGAAATAGATGAAAGCAACAAACTTGGCCCAAAGAAACATACAACTCCAGGTGCTTCTCCTGCTTAAAAAGTATCTTGTGCTTTTTTTGTTCAGGTGTCCGGCTGGGAAAGTAGAAGTGATTGATAACCTTACAGGGCTCAGACATTGTACCTCTTCACCTTGTGGACACTGGACCTGTAGGAATGGGGGTACCTGTGTGGCCCAATCCCAAGACAAGACTATCTGCCAGTGCCCCGATGGTTACAAGGGAAGATGGTGTGAAATGAGCCAAGTGAAGGCAGGAAGACCAATTGGACTCAGCTCTGGCTCTATTCTGGCAATCAGCATGTGTCTTCTCGTCTTCCTAGGTAGGAAAGCAAGTTTGTTGGCGGGGGGGGAGGGAGGAGGGGGGTCATCTTGCACCTTGCTCTATTGAGTCAAGTCTGCTTTACCTCTTGGATGTGACCGGTGTTTTACCTCTTCTGGAGATCACCAGTTGGGGTTCCTTTGAGGATGCTAAGAGATAGGCATCAGCACATGGTTAAAGTTTACTTGCTTAAAGCCAGTTCCAGCAAATTTAGAATTTTCCTCTTCCAGAATCATTTATTTTCACTCCTTCTTAAACAGGGGCGTTCCATCTGTGCGTGCAAATCCATGTGCAGCCATTTCCATCTGAAACTTCCACCTGCCCTGAACCCTTACATGTATATTAGGTAGCACCTACAACTGGTATGTGCTGTTCACGTGTTAGGAAGGCAGAGAGCTTTCTCTAGAGAGTTTATGACCTCTCTGGTTTTGAGAATGAGACAAGCTTCATTAAGAATGAGGAGCAGAAAGAAATGTTCAAAATGTGTCCAGTTTTAGATGCACTTTGGTTGAAATAATAATATCCCATAAAATTACATTTTTCCCATATTGGTAATGAAAAACTGCATGTACATCTCAGAATAGTAAAGATTCTGATGATTATATTGCACTTGTAACCTTCATTAAAAGTGTTTTACTTACTTTGGGTATCTTATTTACTCAGGATTGGTGAAAGGCCAGAGATTGGCCAAAATGCCTTCTATTTAAATGGATTCCTTTAGGTAAGTAAAATACTCTTTTAATGAAGTTCATGATGTAATATATATAGAGATGATTCTTTACCTTCCTGAAAATAACTTGCTTATACGCTAACAATTACGCATTTCTTACCTGGGAATTTGCTTGTAAAATAAGAGTTGATTTGATATCTCAGGGGTCCTATAACTATGACATGTATATGACATATATATGACTATATATGACATATACTTTGTAATATGTCATGTAACAAATATGTGTATCCATTTTTTCCAGCTCTCTTGGTCTCCTACACAGTGTGGAGTCAGTGGGGAAGTTCAGGGTTTCGGAAGGGAGGAATTTACCACATTCCTGAAGAGCATGAAAGCTGGGAGGATGTTAGAGAAAATGTCTTCAATTATAATGAGGAAGGAGGAGGAGAACGTGACCAGGTATGATGCAGCTGCAGTTCAGTCTTTGCAGACCACACCTCTCCTTACCTTCCTTTCCTAGACTTTTAACTTTTTTTTAATTGCCCTCACCCAAGTGTTTGTATTTTAACTAAAACACTCTTGAGTGGGAGGCTTCTGTTGCAGTCTGATCTGTACTTTTCACACTGGTCAAATGTGGCCACCTTTTAGGGGGCCGCCCTGGGGACAGCATAGTACCTTGTACACAGCATCCTTGGTTTAGCTGAAGACTATCAGCATAGCATTTAAAGGAATGTGGTATGATCTGAACCTGGCCCTCTGAACTAGCCCCTCTCTTTTCCTCAGTTTGTAGAAGACTCACAGAATCTGGATTTGTGTTGCACTGGGTTTTAAAATATTTTTGGGAACGTGCTTTCTTTCATGTTTTTTCTCTCTGATATTTGCATTCTTTTTTTCCAGAATGCATATGATATAGATGAACTGAAGAAACCTCTCCAAAACGTTTCCCACTTCTGCTTGAGGGCTGCTGCTCTGCACTGTAGGACAGCTGGTGGCCCAAAGAGAGACTCACTCCCAAAATGCGCACATCGAAAACAGTCATCAGCAGCTGTTACCAGTGTTCCACATTTCAAGGAATACGTTTCTCAGCTCGTCTGGAACGCAGACAATGATCTACGGAGTCTTCCAGCTGACACTCTTCATTATTACTGCTTAGAAGGGCGATGCTCTCTAGCAGGGAGCCTTAGTTCCCTAGACTCCGTTAGTGGTGATGAAGATCTAAATTATGATTGCCTCCAAGAGTGGGGGCCAAAGTTTGACAAGCTCAGAGAACTCTATGAGCTCTCAAATGAACGTCTGTGACCAGAGCTAAAGGAACTCTCAAAACATAGCCATGACATACGGAGACTTCTTCTAAAAATATGAGGTTTTTTATATTTAAGCTAAATCAATTAAGTTATTTGATGCAAACTTTTAGTAACAATAGTATGAAATACTCAGTTTTCCCAGAAGTAACAAACTGAACAGTCTCTTTATATGCACTGTATAAATAGATATTCAAAGATAGAAGCGCAAAGGCTTTTAATGTATGAGTTCTCTTGGAAACTTTGAAATGTAGGATTTGTATCAAATAGCATTGTAATATCCCTTTTTATTTGTGTAGACCACAGTGAATTACTAAACTGTCTTGGATGCAAGAACTTGAATTACTGTCTCCCTAGTATAAATATGATTCCTTATCATGTGGATGGCAATGAGTGGGGCATTTTTAAAATTGCATTCATTTTAGACTGTGAAGTCAACTAGGAAACACTTTAAATTTATGTTTCTCTTCTCAGCTTTTGTCTTCTAATTCTAATCTCTCCCGACATTACACACGCTCGCTCACTCGCTTTTACAGGCTGCCCAACCCTGTGAGACTTTTTCTCTACAATCTCTTTCTCTAATTACCTGTGAAGATGGGAAAACAGCAGAAAGATCAAATTATCTTAGCTGTGAATAGCGCTTTGCTGTTGTGACAGTTTTAATCTTAGAAGTGGTGGTAAGACTTGGAAAAACATTTCTATTCAGTAAGGTTTTATTTCTGACTTTCCATTGCATCTTCAACCGTTCTTCAAAGTCTATAGTTGTAAAAGAAGAGCTGATAGCAAGCTGAAGAGAAGTTAGGAGGAATCCAGGCAAAAGTTGGAACTGAACTCTTTTCAGTCAGGGTAGTTATTGTAAAAGTTGGAGTCCTCCACATATAAAGCGTGGGAAATCTGCCATATTCCTCTTTGCTTCCTCCTACCCTTCCCCTCTCCCCCAAAAATGTGCGTGGTTTGAGCATGGGATGGAAGGAGAGTCAGACTTCTGAAATCTAATGTTGACTTGAACACTCATCTCTATGGCCATGGGTAAATCACTTTAAGACGTTCTTCCTCATTCTCTGTCCCTTGTCCTCTCCTTGTCCCCCTTAAATCCCGGGATATTTCCCACTGCAGAGGGTGATGTGTGAATCTTAGTGCTTACAGAGTGCTTAAAAGCTCTTAGATGCTAAGGTTTTTTAAATTGTTTTCTCCTTAGTAGTTTTTAATTACTAGTACACCATGATATACTGCACATTTGTTTTTTGTTGAACTCTTGACAGTTCCTTTGATTTATAAATACTGTTTTAAATTGAGGCCTTTCATCACTATTGACCATTTTGCTTGGTGTGAGAAATGGAAATGTATATTAGTTTTGTACTTAGAAGGAAGATTTTGAGATACTGTTAGAACAAATGTAGTTTGCACTGAAAAGAGCTTGAACAAAAACACTATGTGAACTGAATTTAAAAATCTGTGTTCATTTCATAAAATGACTTACATAAACAACATTAAAATAGCAATATTTATCAGAGATTTGGACCAAAAGAGTGACTCGGACTTCTTTGTGCCAAATGGGCATTGATTTGTTCTTATGAAGTCATAAAGAATAAGTATTGTAGCTATCTAACATATTACTGCATCTCACTTAATGTACTTTTTCCCTGCTTTCTAAAGAAGTATGATCTTGTAAGAAATTATAAAATCTGTTATATTCTGGGACATTATATATATTCTGCTGCAAATGAAATCTACTGAGCATCAGAGCATCAGTAAGGTAACTGAGTGTTGAACTCTTAGAAGATTTTCATTAAATGCATATACGTTTTTAGCACTCTTTATTAAATTGCCTCTTCTGAACTTGATATCAAGTGAGGCTTAGCATAATTATCCTCTGGGTAAACTCTGTCTCTTCCAAAAGAGAGTAATTGGTACAACGTGCTACCAGTGATGCTTGAGACAGGCTAACTATTGTCACCCAGAGGATTATTTTACAATTCGTCTTCTGAAGCCTGCCATTTTACATATGAATGCATATTAAACATTAACTTAGGAAAGCTGAAGGAGCAGTTGATTTTTCCCTCACATAGCTGAAGACACAAAGTAACCTGGCAGGACAGAAGCTAAGAAATTGCAATGTAGTCTGGACACTTAATGGACTTCTGTCTTCATGATAGATGAGAAAGAGGAAAGCCCTTCTGCCTCATTAGGCCACGTACTGCAAAATACAGAACATTTCCACACAGCAGGTAACTATCTAGTTAGAGAGTTGAATATAATGGATGTCTCCTTTTCGATTAAAAAAGGGAATTTTGTACCACAAGGGACATTTAAAGCGTCAAGAGATTGGAACAAAACATATAATGGCGTTTACAAAGGTATGATTCTGTGTGCGCACGTGCGTATGTGAGAATGATATGACCGACCATGTCATTTACTTCTTTCCCCTTGCAGGATCATTGTGTACCACGAGTGCCTGTTAAGTGGCAACTGAGAAAGGGCCATACCAGGCACTCGTTTGGGACAACATGTCTCGCTCCACTTGCTGCAGAAGTTGTGGTTGGTCAGCGAATGAGTAAGTCCTGTAGGAAAGGAAAAGCAGCCCTGTCACTTAATGCAATGACTGGGGCAAAAGAGATTTGCAGTCTGTGTCTTCACTGAAAACTTGTTATACAGCCTTTTACTCTTTTCTTGGTAAAGTATTTGAGAAATTCAACCAAATGGCTGAAGTAGTTAAAACCTTCAGCTATTCATCCTGCTTCTATCCCAGACATTGTCATGCTAGGAACAGGGATACCCGAAAACCTTGGGTATCGGGTCTTGGCTATTTGCAGTTTAGAGCCTGGCATAAACAGATGTGGACTATGTAAATGGGGATTAAGCAAGTTTACATCTAAAGCGTAATTCCTAGGTTACTGATGTTTAGTTTCACTGAGCTTTCCAATAAACTACTTCAGCATGAAGGAAGAGTTTATCAGTAGTAATTCTTTCAGCTACTAGAGTATCTAAAGCACTGTCAAAAACTGGAGATAAAATCTCTCTCTGGCAATAAGCTGAGGATACCTTTAATGACCCAGACCTATTACTATACATTTTATCTTCTGACATAAGGTAATGAAAGCCTCATCTATTGAAGCCAAAGGGGAAGGACTTGTGAAGATTTTGCCTTATCTCGAGAGATGCATCTTTAATCTGATAGCAAGGCATGGGAGGATGGTTGAAGACAGGAACGGGTTGCCCAAAGAGGTTGTGTCAGAACCTGACTGGACACAGTCCTGGGCAACCTGCTCCAGCTGACACTGCTTGAGCAGGGAGTTTGGACCAGATAGTCTCCAAAGGCCCCCTTCAACCCCAGCTATTCTTTGATTCTTGTAGGAGAAAGAGAGGCACCACTTCCAGGGTTAGATACTTTGGTTTTCCTGCAATTACTGTTCCTTTTCATTTTGGGAGATGTTATACTAGAATACTGACGTAGTATGATACTTTTCATCTAAATAATTGCAGGCTTTCTTAGGGACGATTACTGGACTGAATCTCTTCGCATTAGCTGACCTCAAGTTAATCTGTACATGTTTCTTTGTAGTGCTTGAGCATTCCTCAAACTCCAAAGGAGAAATTAGTATTATCTTATGGTAATGGGATCATATATCCTTACCTTTCTGGAAGAGAATTTTGCTGATTTAAACTGAACTGCAATTAGCAATGCTAAAAGCTTTCTTAAGTAGCCCGCTCTGGGGTTTCCACTACCTTAGGTAGACTCATTCTTATACCAAATTAATCTGATCGTTCTTTACTCTTTATTTCCCTCAGCACAAAGACTGGATGTTTTATGTACAACAGTGCACACCTTCAACACTTTAGAAAAATATGTTTTCTTAACTTCCTTTCCTTTGTATGTGACAGGAAAGGAATAAGGAGCCCCACCGTTTTCTCTTGCCAGTCATTAAATGCATGCAGTTAACCCTCCTGATCGTTAGGACAGTAACACTCTTCAAATGCCGAACTTCGCTGCTGGCTTTTGCTTCCTCGCTCCTGGACGCATGAAGGCGGGAGACACTGGAAAACATACGCTCAAGGGGCTGAAGCAGGGCAGCGGGGTTTGGCGCACCTTAGAAGGACCGGCTAGCTAGCAGGCTGTCAATAAGTTACTTCGCCCTTTCCCTCTAGCTCAGCGCCCGGGGCGGTCACTGCCGTTTGCGGTCACGTTGGTGAACCCCACGGCCTCCTGCGATACACGCGGCGCTGCCCCCTCGCCTCCGCCCGGCCGCC